GTGTACAAAATTAATTGTATGCTTTTTAATTTTAAAATTCAAGCATTGTTGTACAATTGTGGTTGAGTGTTAATGATAGTGGGTGTGTGTGTGTTTAAAAATATAGGTATATATTGTATTAAGACAGAATGCACAGTGCTGGCCCAAATATTAGTCATGCAAACCCATTGTAGTTTGTATTTATTGCTCTAAATTTGTTAGATTTACTTGTATTATTGTATAATTCCTTCCATCTTCTTCCCATTCATCTTCATGTTTTCATGTTTATTCTTGTTGCGTTGTGACCTTTTCAGCAGCACAAAATATGCAGTACATTATTAGTTTGTATTTCTTCGCTTTCATAATTCAATTAGGCATATTTTTTATATATATTATATATATAATTTAATTCTGTCTAATGGCAATGATGCGCGTGTTGCTTCAAACGTAACCTCGGCACAAAAAAATGTTTATGCTAAAATATTATATAGGTTTTCTGTTCGTATCTCGCTAAAATATTTATCATTATTCGTTTATTATTCATGCTCTGGCTTTATTATTGTAATTTTACAAATGTATTATAGGATTTTTGTTTTCTCGCATTAGTTTCATAATTTCTTCTTCTTGTTTGTTTACTTCTTTGTTTATTTGTTTCTTTCTTTGGTTGTTTGTTCGTAAGCATCTTGTTTAGAACGCTTAGTTGAAGATGTTGTTGCTGTTGTTGTTCTTGTTTTTACATACATACTATATATGTATATAGGCATATATATGTATATATACACATATATTTTAATACATATACATATATGTTTGTTTCTTATTTTGTTAAAGGTTTTTATTTAATCTCGCCCCGCCCCTCATTTATAACAGTGCACTCAGTATAAGTATATATATATATTTGTTTGTTTGTTTGCTTTTGTTTTTATAACTTATGCATTTGTACGGAATTTCAAACTTAATTTTCTGTTATTAGTTAGCATGTAGTACTTTTACTTAGCATGTGTTCTATTATTTATATTTATGTGGTTTCGTATTATTTGTCAAACAGCCAACAAAATGTATAATAATGAAGCTATATTCAAGTCGTTAAACAATTGGCAATTGGCAAAGCATTTCAAAATCGCTTGAGAAAATAGCAAAAGTACAATATTTTGTAATTCTCTTGAATTTTTTCCTTTTTGAAATTTTTTTGGAAAAACGCTGTTTTGCAAAAATATAAAATGCGCAAAAATCCAAAGCAAGCAAGAGAAAGTAAACTGAAGAGTTAGTATAAGTACGTATGTATCTACATATGCAGATAGAGAGAGATAGATAGATGACGGCGAATTATTGAGCATAAAGTCTTTTGTATAACAGTAATTGTGAGGCGTTGAAAATAACGCACGCAAATCAATTATTAAATTTGGACTTTTTATTAATAATTAGAAAGGCAACGCTCAAAACTGGTCCCCATAATATGTACGAGTATTTTGTTTAGTTCGCTTTTAAATTAGATTGTGGCACTTAGCGCAAAGTATTATACAACTGCATCAGAACCGTTATATAGCACTTATGTAGCTGGCAGACAAATGCACAGCTGATATACAACGGCTATATGTATATTATGCACCTGTTATACAACTGTTATACACCCATCACATTTTGCTAATTGTTATATAACATATGACGTATGCAGATATTTTCTGTTATACAAATAATGGACTCCAATTGGAAAATGACTTTGCAATGCTTTAGATGCAACAACATCTATTCATTATACTTATCAAAAAATTAGCGGATAGATATGATAGAGGAAAGAAACCAAGTTACACGAGTAGTATAGAAAACGATATTGCCAATAAAGTAATGTTGAAACATACGAAAGTAAAAGAAACTGTAAAAGCTCAACTATTTGCATATTCGTCGGATCTTGTAGATTGAGTTTTGAATTCAATAAAAATCTTTATAAGCCTCTTGGTCTATGTACTTATGTGTGTGTGTTTTTGTGTGTGTGTGTGTGTACATGTGTTCAGAACAAGTTCCGCATTTTGTATTTAATTTGGAAGCAAAGTGTGGTTTTGTGATGGGTGGGAGGGTTCGTTATAATTTGAAAGGGAGGGAGGTGGTAGTGGTAGATTACGTGTCCTTGTGTTTATGTTTGCGGCTCAAAACCAAAAAGCGCGCGAATCTTATTATTTTTCCATTCATTTTTCTTCTTGTTGTTGTTGTTGTTGTATACTTTGTGTGTGCAAATCATTTGTCAATTGCAGTTTCCAGACTCTTAGCAAACTTGAAGCAAAAGCAAAGCACGTGTATCTATGTTTGTATAGGTATGTATGTATAACATGTGTATGTGTGTGCAGTATCTGTGTGTGCAAGTGTATGTGCGCAATGGAAGTTCATATTGTTTCTTAATTATATTAATTTTCGAAATGTTGCTTGTATTATTATTTGTTTTTTTTTTTATATTTTTTTATTTTTAAAGTCAGAATTGTAAGTGAAACATTTTGTTTCTTCATTTATTTGCGGAACAAAAAGTGAGGAGAACGGTAAATCAATAAAAAAAATCAGGAAAATTATGTGGAATAGAAGCGGCTTCAAACAAAGCTTAGCTTGGCGCAACTAAACGGAACATAGATTCGGCAAATACATACATACATACGCATACATATGTATGCAAGTACATATGTATGTGTGTGTGTGTGAAATGAAAAGCGAAGGCGCTTAAGCACTCACAATGCAGGCACGCAGTTGCTAATACTTTGTTTGAATTGAATTAGCTTTTCATTACAATTATTTATGTTATACATATATAATATTATATATGACGTAAATGTATGTATATCTATGATTTATTTATTTATTTTTTTAAATTTGCTTTGCTTGATTTTTCTTTTGTAACTCTCTAATTTCACTGCACTTGTTTTTGTTCGTTTTGGTTTTGGTTTTAGTTTATTCTTTTTGTTTTTGTTTAATTTATTAAAAGTATTTACGAAAGGAAAGAATTACATAATAGAAAAGAAAAATGAAAGGAAAACATTTTTCAATTTGTTTTTCATCCATGTTTTTCATCTTATGTATGCCCATGACACCATAGCATTTTGTTGCTATCTTTATCGTTGTCATTTATCGTTTATCATTTGAGTTTTGCTTTGCTTTTCGCTTTGTTTTAAGTGTTCGCTTTTCATTTCCTTACTAACTCATTTACATTACATGTTTGTTGTAGTAGTTGTTATTTGTTGTATTGCACAGTCGTGTTTTGCTTTCTTCAACACAATTTCACACGCGATTTCACTCGACTATTTGCATACTTTGTAGCTGCCTCTTAAGATTTCATATTTCGCTTCAATTTCATTTTCAAATTAGGTTTGCGTTTTGTTTTTCAGTTTCCTAACTTCATGCGCCCCAACTCCAAGCTTCTGTTGTTCTTTTTGTGTATTGTCTGTTTATGCTATGTGTTTGTGTATGTGTTTTGTGTAATTGTGTATTTGTGAGTGATTTGGTTGGTACAGTTGAAACGAAACACAGCTAAAGTGTGGAATTGTAAATAAGTCCGCAAAAGCTGTTTACTCTGGTCTAAACAGCCGCATCAAATGGGAATCAATTGCTGGGGCGTTGCCAACTTTCAGAGTGCAGCATTTCTGAGTGTGGCATTGCCAGCGCTGCATTTAATACATTGGGTTGCTGCCTTTCGTGTATAAGTGTTTGTATGTAGTTTTTTGTGTATGTGTTTGTGTGGGTGTGTGTATGCTTTAAGCTTTTTGCTAATTGCCTTTCGTTTGTCTCTGTGTCGTTGTATTGGGATATAAGACGGTCAGTACGAGTATAGGAAGGTTGTCGAGGAAAATAAAGAGTCAATAGACACATACATATGTATAATGCTTGAAATAAGTAAGTTTGTTGTATGGATTATTTTGTTCTTCTACTCGTAGCCAGCTCGCCAACTTGTCATAATTGTAATTGTAAATGTAATTGTGTTCGTACTCGTTTAGGTTTTTATTTTTGTTTTTGGTTTTGGTTTTCGTATTGCTTTTTATGGCAGTTCAGACGGTTTTGTAACTTGGATAAATGTAATATATGTATATGTGTGTATAAACTAGGCAATTAATTGGTGTTTTCATTTTCATTTTCATTTTTCTTTTTCGCTTTAGAATTAATTATTATTATTTAATTGTTCGTTATTTAGAATGGAATGTATTGTTATTTTGTTTGTCAGAGAGTTTGTTGTTGCACTTTTTTCAAGTAGTAAACCAAGCGTGTGTTTCTCATGAAACTTCATCTTGAATTTTTGATACACTTTTATACTCAATACATTGCAAATACAATTAATTATAGAGCTCGCTTTGTTTTTTCTTGTTGCTGTGGCTGTTGTTGTCTGTTTTTGTTTGGTTTTTTTTTGTTTTTTGTTTGGTATGGGATATACAATATGTATGGTTCTTGTTCTGTTATTGTACGAGTATACGAGTAGGTCAAAAAATTAACTGCCTAGTGAATAATAACTACTATTATAATGACCTGCTTACAAATGTAAGAGTATTTCGACTTTGTTCTTCTTGTTTCTTTGTTTTTGTTATTGTTATTTAATACATAGCTTAAATATGATTGTTGTTGCTGCTGTTGTTGTTGTTGTTGTTCGTTTTTCTTCTGCATCTGCTTCTGCTTCATCTTCTTCTTCGACTTGTTGACTCGAACTGAAGTAACTCAAATAAGTGTTTGGATAAGAATTGTTGTTGCTGCTGCTGTTGTTGTTGTTGTTGTTGTTATGGTTGTGGGTGGTTAAATGTTCGTCGTTGTTGTGTCTGTCTGTGTGTGGGTGTGTGTTGTTTTTTGTTGTTTATAGTTAATTTTTTAAATTTATATATATATACGATATATAGCAGAAAATTATGCTTGTTCGCTGTTGTTGTTGCTGTACCTGTTTGCTCACTGTTTGTTTGTTTGTTTTTCTTTTAAATTGATTTATTTTTGCTGTTTGAAATAAATATTTTATATATTCTTGTAGCGCTGCTGTTGTTGTTGTTACCGCTGCTGCTGAAGTTGCTGTTGTTGTTGCTAATACTCGCGTGCGTCTTGGAGGGGGGGGCGAGGCCTGGCTCAGACATCTGCCGTGCGCGATGTTATGCTCGGCGAGCGCGAGTGTATTACAACCTTATGGCCGTTTTTTGTCACAAATCCATCGCTCTCCACTAAAACGGCCGTTTGGCGGCCCGCGCTACCGCTGCTCTGGCCACCGGGACTGCCCGCCGCCGCGCTATCAGCGCCATCGACTATTGAACTATTTACATTGCTCTCGATAACGGCGGCGGCAGCGCCTTCAGGGTCGATGGCATCACCGATGGCCGATCCATCAGCATGTTCGCTGCCACCAGCACCACCACCACCACCAGCATCATCGTTGGCACCACCGCTGCCAGCCTCATCACCAGCCTTATCACCACCAATACCGGCACCACCGGCATTATCGTCATCATCACCACCACCATCGTTCTCATCCCCATCGGTTGCACCGCCCTCGCCGCGCGTCTTGTGCTTGCGCCACGCGTGCTGGATGAGACGAGCACAGTACTCCTCACGTTGCCGCCAGAGGGTCGAGGAGACCGGCTCGTAGCCCTCAGTGTCGGGCCGTGCCGCAATCTCACCGATCTCGCCCGTTTCCTCAATGGGATTGCCTTTGCGCGCGAAAAAGTCTTTGGTCAGTGCGTCGAGTATGTCCACACAGTACATGAGATCGCCGCGACAGATCGGTATGTCCATCGATATGATTTTGTACTTGTTGGGCTTGTGTATTTGCAGCGGCGGCTCGAGGACGTCGAGGAACTCGGAGAGCTGATCGTATCGTATGTACTGGGTGCCCTCGGGATCAAACTGCTGCCAGATCTCATAGTACATGTCGTAGTCGTCATCGGTTAGACCCTCCTGTACATCTTCGGTGGCCTGACTATAGTTCTCGAGAATGACAGCAATGTACATATTAATAACTATCAAAAAGCTTATAACTAGGTATGAGAGGAGAAACGTTATTCCAACGGTCGCTGAACCACAATTGCCCGGATAGCCTTTGTCGTTGTCGGGTGGATCGCATGCTTCCTCATTGATAATGGCGTCGAGTACACCATCCCAACCGGCTGAGGTAGACATCTGCCAGGCGCGCGTGCGCAAATACAATGAGAGAATTATGAATTTGAATTCGAAAGCGCAACGAGACGCAGATGGGCAGTTTTTAAAATTGTTCAAATTCAGATATTGTGTTTGTTTTTTTGCGGTTGGTTGGTTGGTTGGTAGGTCGTTTGATCGTGGGAACGATCGTTGATCAATTGTACGTTAGGTGTGAAGTTTATATTGATTTTTTGTTTGTTTTGGTTTTTTTTTTTTTTTGTTAATGTCGTACGGTTTTGTGTGTGGGCAGTGAAAGAGAAGTTTAAGACAGAAGATACAATAACAAGAATAGTCATTAGTCAAACGTTTTGGTAAATGGATCACTTCTTTAAGCAAACTATGTAGGGTATATAGGGTTAGAGTTAGTATATACGAGTAGAGTGTGTACATTTGTGTAGTACTTAGCATACAATATACAGTTAGTAAAATATTTGCTAGCGCTGGTTAGTGGTTAGTAAAGTGGATAGTAATGGCGGGCCCGAACTAAATCCAATAAAACATTTGCATTGGATATAGGAGCACGTACAAATTCTACATATGTACTATGCAAGTATTTTTACAGTCTCTAACAGCTGTATGGGGCCCAAGCTGAAAAGCTTTCGAAAGCGCTTTGTCCCACAATAATGCCCATTGCCCGCCTTTCATTGCCACTAAAAAAAGGGCAGCCAGACGCGCACGCGCACGCAGCTCGTATAAGAGGTTTGTAGACGTGGCGTGACGTGAAGAAATTCTGGACTGAAGTTCCAACAAAGCAGCATTGCTATTTGTGGATACACATAGACATAGACAGCCTTATTGAAAGCCTTATTGGGTTATACGGATATAATACGGCGTGAAGAGAGCAAGAGTATTAGTTGTGAGCAAGATAGATAGAGGCAGAGAGAGGGAGAGCAAGAGTTTGATAGAGAAAGGGAGAGAGGTAGATAGATAGAGAGAGAGAGAGAGAGTGCGAGAGAGAGAGATGGGGGGGGAGTAGCGTAGTTGTGTTCCTTGTGGCGTTGAAACGCACGAAAGTTCTCATTGATCATTTGATTTCGTTTGATTTGTGTCATGAGGAAACTTCAACATTTCATTTGGTGTTTGTTGAAAGAGCTGAATTAGATTTGTTTTTTGTACAATTTACTAAAAATATATGTATTTTTTAAGGCAAGCGCAAAATCATAAATAATAATTAATATGTATTCATCGGCCATACCGAAGCTAACGAAATCCTTTATGAACTTTGAACACTATAGGTATTAAAGGAATTATAAATATAAAACACATTTCAAAATAATCCTGGTGTCAGATCGATTAACTTAAGGACCGGTTAAATGGCAGACAACCAAACTGTATATGTACATATATACATAGCTATATATATTATATTATTTCATTAATTTCTACGTACTTTATTGATTCTGTAAAGGATCTCAATATGCAAACGAGCAGATAAGCAAATTTGACAAAAAAAAAAAAAACAACAAGCATTTGGTATTAGGCCAGCGTTTTGTGTTGTATGGATACGATTGATTCGATCTTTGGCTATTACTGTGCCTTTTGCACTTAAATATAGCATAAAATATAGTGGTATATTACTAAGCTGAATCAAAACTATTGTCTTAGCGGTGACGAGTTTTTTGTTGACAGCCTTAATTCTGATTGAATCGGTGAAAAGGCAGCAGTATGCTGTTCTCAACTCTCATTGGATTCTCATACCATAATTTTGCTGTTAAATTATTTTTGAATTTTTTTGTTGAACTATACTTGTAGGAGTTACCAAAGAAACTTTTCTGGACTGCTTGGAATATCGAAATGCCTTTCACGGCTAAATACAAATGCAAGTACAATAAAGGATATGCTTTGAAGGTTTTTTTTAATTGCCAGCATAATACCATGCCAAAAATTGAAATCATTTTGCATATCTTAGAACTGAAAATGTATTGATGGAACGCAAAAGTGAATCAAAAAATCGCACTAATTTAGCTTTTACCAACAACTACCGCAGCTTCAATCAACATTGTGATGTTGCCACTAACATATCAAAATAAAAATGCAGCACATAACAACAGCAATAGAGCAGACAGATCGAGCTGATCCGATACATAAGAGTAGTATGTAGGTATACTGAAATGCATCGGCGATACGGGTCGATTGGCCGAATTGGTATACTCTTACAAGTGTGCAGAATAATGCAATTGGTACGGGCCTGGTCATTGCTGTTGCTGATGTTGTGAACCGTCTGTAGGTTTTTTGGGACGTTGGACCTTGGGCCGAGAGCCGTGGGCCGTGGCCCGTGGGTGTCCCTGTGTGTTAGTGTGGGCGTGGCAACATCACCCAACGACAACAACAATAGACAACATAAACCGTTAACGGAATTGTGGCTAGTTCGCTTACCTGAAACAGCAATATCATGCTCTGACCAAACGTTTTGAAGTTGTAGACATCGTTGATGCCGCTCTTCTCTTTCACATGCATGAAGAACGACATGCCGAAGATCGCAAAGATGAACATGACCAGAAAGAGCAGCAGGCAAATGTTGAACAATGCCGGCAGCGACATGGCCAGGGCGAACAGTAGCGTTCGTATACCCTTCGCGCCCTTCACCAGACGGAGTACGCGACCCACTTTGGCGACGCGCACCACACGTAGCAGCGTCGGCGATACGAAGTATTTCTCGATAATGTCGCTAAGTACGAGACCTGTGGCGGCAGCAATTCACGTGTGTGCGTGTGTGGGTGTGTGGAGTGTGTGGAGAGCATTAGAAACAGTGTTGAATACTCGTTTATCAAATACATATAGACGTATGCAGATCGTTGTGTCTCTATATTACAAACATGGGTTCGTTTCGGTTTCGTGTTGGACTTGAGTTGGGCTTGAGTTGGTCTGGGATTGGGTTAAGTCTTGGACTGGGACTCGGACTGGGTTAAGCGCAATCAGAATTGCACAAACAAGACACTAAAAGGGCACAGCACACAATACAATACAATTTAGCTGAAATATTGAAAGCATTAGGTAAAGACGCTCCTCCAGTTCATTACAACAATAAATTCAATTCAAATTAAATATAACAATTGTGTAAAGAAATACTTAATATTGAACAGCTAGGTGGGGCTGGTTATGTTTACAGTTAACATAAAATGTCTCAAGCCAGTATGTAAATAAAGAAATTTGCTTAGCATAAATGAACAAAAATCAATTTCGGGTTTCTTTAAATAATAAATCATAAATTGGTTTATCAAAAGCTTCTCGATCGATTTTCATAAATATTCTCTTAATTGTTTGATTATTATTGAAGGAAAAACAAGTGAAATATTTACTCATGGCTGTGAGTTAATCTGAAATTGAAACTGAACTTAAGATAAGTATTTCTGTAAAATTAAGAAATGGTTGAGTTGATCGATCGTTGGATCGATTGTTTGCGATCAAATATAAAATGCAACACGCAAGAAAATGGCTCAAGGGTGCAAGTCAAAAGAAAATGGCGGATTTTTGTTTGTTTGAAAAGTGAACGTGAAGCGTTGTAGTATTAAAATATGAGATAAAACAAAACCTATTAATAATAAACTCATACTTATACCTAGACAAATACATATACATATGCACATACATAAATACACATATAGCAATTGTATTACATAATGCTTTGTAAAATATGCGCGACTCTCACACATACATAAGTATAGAAAACAAACACAAAAGGATATACACAAGATACGAGTACGATACGAACACAAAATGAACAATGAAGCTAAATCGGCAGGCACACCACGCCGATGTACACATATACGGGTATGTACAAAAATACATACATACATAGTCATAGATGTGTGTGTGTGTGTGTGTGAATACATACATAATATACAAGTATGTGTACGCAGGATAACACAACGTAGGGTACTTTTTATTTTAGATCGAAGCACAAGTAAATAAAGTACCACAACATATAACTCATAAAGGAAAATTATATAGAATTGTAAATGAAAAGTGTAACACAAATAGGAACACTGAGTAAGCAGCAATACAGTATTCAGTCGATATCCTTCTTGCTAGGCAGCGCAGGCGTACAATAAAGTTGTAAGTTGTAAGCAGCGGCAGCAGCTAGGGCGGAAGTATGTAGCAGCAGCAGAGGCGTTGGCTTAAAACCTTTCCGGTAATTTTTTGGTTTTGGTTTTCGTTTCTCTTGTTTTTCTTTTTTTCATTTTAGTTTTTGCATTCGATTTGGCCGTGTCCGACTGAATATGAAATTGTACGTCGGCGTCATTTATTTTGTTTAGATTCGTTTTGTTTTGTTTTGTTTTGCTTTATATTTGAAGCGATAATCCGCAGCATATTTTAAAAGTGCCAAATATCAGCAATGTTCGTTCGTTGCCCAAGGCGCTCATTACAATTTGGATCGATTTTGTCAATCGCAAGCAATTTGCTTTGTTTTGAAACAATGCGTTCATTGGTTTTTGTTTCCATGAAACGAAATGCGCACTACAATGTGGGCTGGGCGGGACGAAGGACGAGCTACAGAAACATTGTACGAACGAACTATTGCTAGAGTTTTGGGTAGCGACAAAGGAGCGATCAAAAGAGCTGAAGAGCGGGGGAGCGAGAGAGAGAGAGAGAGAGAGAGAGCAAGAGCTGTAGGTCGAGCTGAGACATGCCTTTGAACGTTTGCTACTTGTAGGTATATGCAGGACATAAAATATCATTGGATATGGAGCGCTAGGCGATACAATGTAGCTAGGCAGAGAGTTGAGAAAATGTTTCAAGAGAAGTAAATGTTGAATTAAACTTAGTTGTTTGTTTTTGTTAGTATGTAGAGCTGTAGTTGTTATGCAAGTAAAAAGTGTAAAAAAGAAAAGCAATAAATATTGTTCAACTAGTACATTATAGTTGATGAGGATACGTTCGCTTGATGGCGCCTATGGCGCTTCTGTTGTTGCCGTCGTCACATGGGCTATTTCTTGATAGTGCTAATCGCAACTCTACTCTAGGTAGGCCAGGTAGGTGCACTACGGGCTGGACGGGCTGGTTGTCTGCATATGCGTTTTACTACGTTCATAGTAAAGTACATAATCTCCATCGTAGATTGGACCAAAACCATTAAGAAGATTCAGGCTAGTGCCACGGTATTTTATTTGATTTCTACTTTTGGAATTTGAAATGCCAGATTCGCATAACACATAATGTGGCGGGGACAAATTATAAATGGGTAAACATTTGTGTCCTTTCGGTTATGCTACGCACTATAAGTGGGAGCTATGTTGACCTTCTGGGGTCAATGCAACCGTCGTACGCAAATGTGTGCTAAACATTTTGCACGGCCATTGCATTGGCAGGTCGCCGAGGTTTTACATTTACAAATCTGTATTGGCAATATACCGGGCAGTAGCTGACAGAGTTATGCAACCGACAATCGCACAGAGCTGTGGAATGCCCATTGACACCTAACTCTGATTGAATCTTTGTGTAGTGTACGAAATCAATTTGTATGCGTTTTGTGCAAGCCATTTGTTTTTTTCTTATTAACTTGTTTTTTAAAGTTTACGTTTTTTTCTTTGTTATTATTTCTTCTTATTTGTTTCTTCGCTGTTAAGCTGTTCAGTGTATGTGTGTGTGTGTCTGTGTGCTAGATTTTTTAAAATATTATTTATTTATGCATTGAGCTTTTATGGTTTTTCTTTTGTAGTACTTATAGAGTTTTTTTTGTTTTGTTTTTTTTTTTCTATGCATTTACAAAAGCGTAGTTTTTTCATTAATTTTTAATTTGTTTGGTTTCTTAGTTGTTGTTTGGTTAAAACTTTAAAGCGTGTATTAATATATTCGTCTAAGAGGATATCACTCGACGCTTAGTAAGTATTTGTATTGCAACACCAAAGGCAAATAATGAAGCATACTTGTAGGCGTTTAAGTTAGAAGCAATTGGGGTTTTGTGTGGCTTTGAAAACATTTGGCGTGTGTGACATAAACAATATAATACATGTATATATGTAGGTATATAATTAATTTTTGTTTTTGTTTTTTTTTTTTTTTTTTTTTTTGCTTTGAGAAGGCAAATGAAGCATTAAAGCAACTGTAAAATTGTAGCTCTTTGTATGTATTCGAAGCTTTCGAAAAATGTTTGCATATTTGTTTGAAATTGAAAAATAAAGGAGGGAAAAAGGTCACAACAAGAGATTAAAATCACACGCAGAGCTCAGTAGACAGATGAATTCGGGCAGTTTGGGGGCACGTTCGCCATACAAAAAAAAATTCAAAAAACAACGAAAAGTAGAGGAAGAGTTCGGCGGAATTTTTCGGTTTACGGTTTCTTTTGTTCATACCTTAGGCAGCAGAAATCAAAAGGGCATCCTTTTTTTACAAACAACAATGGTACAGTATAAAAAGGAAGCTTTCTGTTGCAAAATTAATGTAGTAAAGCATATTTTAAGCCATCTTTTGTACAGTGTTTTTGTTCTATTTTGTTTCTTTCTGTTTTTTTTTTTTTTTTTTTTCAAAATCACATTCGACGTAGCCATTTTAGTTTTTGATTTTCTATGTTGTGAGCAAGGGCGTAAATAGTATTTGGACATAATTTTGTGGTATATTTTTGAGTCGAAGGAATTTTAGTTTTTCGTTTGGGCTCTCAGCTATCGGTTTTTTGTGCTTACGTATGCGCAATTTCGGAGCTGCGGCTAATATCTTGAAAATGACCGTAAAACGTCGCTTGAAAAACAAAACTTTTCTTGAAAAAACTTGCAGCGAAGAAAAAATAAGTTTTTATGTAAATAGCCTATAGCTATCAAAGTCTGTTTAATAAATTCGTTCACATTTTTCTGTAAAGACTTTGATAGCTACAAAACCAAGAATTAAAATATGTATAAAATTTAATAAGACAAACATTTGCTTATCATAAGTTGAACGTCAACGACAACAATTACTTTAAAAATAACAACAACAAAAACCGTTTTTGCAACATATACCAATTACATAAACAGCAAACACACAAATCAAATAAAGAAACAACATTAATTTACACAATAGCAATAATCACAAATAATACATTGTATACGAGCCGATAACACAGTGACAAACGTAATTTGAAGGGAAACTGTCATTTGGATAAGCCAACTGTTATACGCTGTTAACCAGCGTAACAGTTGGGTATTTAGTATAACAGTTAAGCAACATCAAAGGCAGCTGTAGCTCTTAAAATTATTTACCTGTCGCTGTAAAATCTAGCTCAAGCTAACAAATAATGTAAAATACGATAAGCACAACGACATAAAATTTGTTATATAATGTAGGGTAGATTGCACGATAATTGTTTATGGTACATATACACCGGAATATACATATATATAAATATTTTGTTATCGGCAAAAAGCCACAGACATTGTGTAACAAATCATTACAAATGTTTCAAATCAAGTTTTTGTACAACGACTTGGATTACTTTGATTTATAAGTATAGTAGTAGTACGAGTATGTATGTTGGATATACAACAACGAATTACAAATTACGAATTACGATTTACGAATTACGGTAAACGAATCAACATTTAACAATTGAATTACGAATTATTTATATGGCAGCAAATTAGTAACAGTTAGTAGAAATTATTAATTGGTAAGTTAGAAAAGAGGAGCGTACTGTGTGTATACATTGAACAGAAAGTTATTGATTAAGAGGCAGTTAGAGATATAGACAGAGAGAGAGAGAGATAGGTAGAGAGAGCCATACACACACATACAGCAAAAATCGTTCGGATACTTGGGAGTTTCAAGCCATTAAAATAAATGGTTGTCGTTTTTCGGTTTTTGTTTTTTTTAGAGTTGATTTTGGTTTGGAAGTGGGGGTAAAGTTGCTTTTAAATGGCTAATAATTGTATTTATTTTTATAATTTGGCATTTGTTTGTTACTTACCTAAGATGGATAAAATGACAACTACTACATCAAATAAATTCCATGGCTCAATAAAATAGTGATATCGTAAAGCGAATATTTTTAATAGACATTCGGAACTGAAAATAACTACGAATATCGCATTGAGATAGTCAAGGACAGCATTGTACGTGTCCGACGCATCGTAACGATCGAGTGTCATGGTGAACATGTTCAGACCAATGAATAACATAATGATTATATCGAATTTCTTATCGGTAACTATTTCAAAGACTATTGCTTGTGGTCGCCACTGTAAATGGAGAAGAATAACGTCAAGTTGAAAATAAAGAAACCAAAAATGGAAAAAGACAATTAAAATGAAAAACATAAAATTGTTACAATTCAATCAAATGATAAGTTCCAACATAAAGTGGGGAATTCAAAAAAACACATTTTCAAAAAACACAATAAAGAGAAGAGAGTAAGAAAAGAATAGAAGAATTCGGTATAAGTATATTGATTTGATTTATAACGTCGAAGTTTCTTATACATATGTAGCTAGTAAGTTATTATTATTTTAAGTCGTTACATTCTCTTTTATATTTCTTTATTTTAAGTTATTTATCATCTTTGCGATTATTATTTATATTAGAATATGTAAAATATGTTACGTTGTAGATCTGTGCCAATTGCAATCTTTTTTCCATGCCATTCGGGGCCCTGCACTGTACTGCTTTGTGTACAGTTCCGCCCAGAATATGGAGCGGATAGGTATGGATATGTTTATGCCTTAAATTAGTGTAACGCCGGTGAGTCATTGTGCTTGGTTAGATAATACGAGTAGATAGATAAGTTAATAGTTAGGGTTGAGTTGCTCACTAAATATAAGTACTGTAGACAGCATACGCATACACAAGTATATTTTTCAATACGAGTAGTAGTACTTAGTTTAAAAGAAAAAACGACGTGCAGTCAGAGGTCGACGCGTTAGGTTTGTTAATTTTGTCGAGGTGTACAGTATTGGTATATGTATTGGGTGTAAGATAATGGTGCCCAGACCGTTTCTCCTCTATTGCCCACATGCCAAGTTGCAGCCAGAAAGTCTAGAACTGCCAATGGGGCTGCACCCAGATTGACGTGCCTAATTTTGATGTATCGATATTATGGTAACAATCTTTAAACATGCCCACAACCCTGCGGTTGCTCGGTTGATACACATTACTTTTTCTTATAGAAAAAACGTGCCAGTATATGTATACGAGTATATATGTATTATTTAGTTGGTTAAAACGAAACATGCAGTCTAAGTAAGTTGCCATTAAAAAACAGTGTGGAATAGAATAGTAAGTAGGTATACATATATAGTACATACATATAAGTAGAGAATATATAGCTTGTATATTTTAATTTCTTTTTGAATTTAAAATTTCATTTTCGTCCAGCTTATAAATGGCAGACATAAAAATGTTTAAGTACAGACAACCAAACGGACACAATACTTAAATATTGATATTGAAATTATTAAGTATGTATATTGAAAAAACAGTATATTAAAATCATTGTATGCTTTAGGAGTCGCTCAATGGCAATAGTAGCGTGTCGTTAACATCAAGGGTTGGACAACTAGTGTATTTATATATCACACTACTGTAGCTATTCCAACGACTCAACTTTTGCGCTTTGTTTTTAGATTCATTATTCATCTTGTCAAAATATTGCTAGAGAATAGGGCCTTGACTTTGTTAATTATACAATTAGATGGTTGGGTTCAGTTTATAGATTAAAAGGGTAATTCTTGTCGTCTGTCTTCTTTCTGTCTGGGTATCTGGCACAGAAGAATAAAAACTAAACTTCCATTTCATATTACTTTCCTAAACGTGAGAATAAATCTGAACTTATCAAAAATTTGTTTAAGTTTAGTTTCAGTTTCTGCCTCCAGAAAATAAACCAGGATTGTGCAATAGTCAGTATGACAGTTGGTATGACAGTCAGTATAAGAGTTATGTAACTGTCGGTTAAACAGTTGCGTTATTCGCTTTCGCTTCATTCAATGCAATTTAACATAGAAAAAAGTTTAATTGTTATATACATATGTTATATATACAATTTACGATTGGCACAGATTTCGCGTTTGACGGCGTTTAAAATATTTATATATTTGAGTTTGTTATATGTTTTGTTTATTCGTTTTCATTTTTATCAGTCTTTTAGTCAGCTTTTTGCAATTTCATTTCATAGGCAGCTTTTTATCTAAGTTATTATAAACACAATTTTCAAAATAAAGCCTAACTAGCCTAGCATTCAAGTACTGTTTGGTTTTATCTGCTTGTAAATAAGTAGATATACATACTCTATACATATACGAATAAGATTGCGCTCAAATTAAGAGTGTTAGAATGAGCAGATATCTTTGATTCTCTTTACAGAATAAATGAGCTACAGTTTGATTAGCAAATTGAAGAAATACAGCACTTTGCAGCTCAGGTGATCGAATTCGCACCATTCCAGGGCGATTGAAATCTGTTAAAAAAACGATGTAAAGTTTTAAGAGAAGGAGAGCTGTAAGCTGTGTTCTGTTAAGTTGAGTGAGTTAACAGTACGGACTGTTTAACAGCATCTTGGTTTACAGTTACTCGATTTTGGACTGTGTTTTATTTCGAGCTGAAACATTGCTTACAATACATTTAATATTTCGGGCTGTTACATTGACTGACACGGATCGATCTCTCAATTAACTAAATACGTACATTCTATCTTGCAAGTATAACGATGTTACCTAAAAAAAAAAACGCCCTTCGCTAATGCACAGGTAGCTCTAAAAGCGCAGTTGACTTATTTGAAACAGATAGTAGGTGAATCTAAAACTGCCGGTTAGTTTTATTTTTTATTATATTCCCTAAGAATTATTTATTTTTGTTGATCTTGTATCTTAGAGAATTTTATAGTTTTTTTTCGTTATAGACGTTAGTCAAATTTATTTCTTGAGTTTGTTAGTGAATTATTTAATTAAAGTTATTTGGGTTTTCATTTCTTTGTATAGGATTTTAGTTTTTTGTTGTTGTTGTCTTACCCTTGGTCTAGGAATGGCTTTTAATGGTTTTTTAGAGCCCATCTTTTTCATAGCATTATAGTACTTTTTCTGATCTTCTGTCATGAACATTTCTAATGATCCACCTGCTTTTTTCTTTTGCTCATTAAAATTATCAATGATAACACCAATGAACAGATTGAGTGTGAAAAATGATCCAAATATAATGAAGAATACGAAATATAAATACATGTAGATGTTCGTTTCACGAATCGGCTGCTTATCCACCTGTGGGGTTTAACATTATCATTTTCGTAATCGTTTTGGTTTACGTTTCAATTTTGTTGATCGGTGACGGTTTGCAAATTTGTTTGTTGAATTTTGTTGCAATTTTTTCATCGGTTGAGATATATTGTGAATGGATCATTTTTAGTGTTGCTCGGCAGTGTTTCAGTGTCGGTGTGGTGGGTGGTGGTTGTTTATTGTTTGTTGTGGTGGTGTGACGGTGGTTGTTGTTGTTGTTGTTGGTATGGCCATTCGTTTTGTGGTTATTGTAGTATTGTTGGCATTGTGTTGTTGTTGTTGTTGTTGTGGTTGTAGTTTTCGTTGTTTTATTGTTATATATAAAAAAGAGAGAAATATGTAGATAAAAAAAGTTGATTAATAAAAAGTTGTTATCGTAAATTTTACAGTACAATGAATAGAGACTTTAAACTATTTGGCGTTTTTGCGTCATTTTGTATGTATTTATATATATATAGTATATGTTTAATAGTAATTGTTTTAGTTTTTTCATGTTGTTTTGTTCTGGTTGTTGTTGTTGTGGTAAAGCTCATAACCAAATATACATATAGTACATAGGCAGTATAAACATGTAGTAAGTAAGTTGAAATCATAAGAGAGCAAAAACTGGACAACATTACCTCTCGTGAATCGATAGCATCGTTCATTATTTGTATCCAGCCTTTGAAGGTGGCCACTTGGAAAAGGCACAGATACGCGTTACCTACATGATCGAAATTCATTGCTGAATTCACCCACGTGTAGTTTTCGCTCTCGCATGCATTGCGATTTGGTATGATCTCGTGGCTGAGCTGCGTACCATTTAAGTCTTCACACTGTTTGTTTGGTTGGTTCGATGATGGTTCCACAAAAAAATAATTACTTTCAGTTATGGGGGGATAATTTATGGGCAATTGCATTAAGTACTACGAGTATAACTAAATTCTTTACATAATCATAATCATACATCATAATCATCATCATTATTAAGTGTTCAAAATTCAGCAGCTAATTAGCGTAATTTGGTAATTTAAATTTTCGGGCATTAGCACGTCTGGCATTTAAAATGCTAATCAATTCGGTTCGAGTGTGTGCAAAAGGCTGGACTAAATAAGTAGCTAGTACTAAAGAGTGTACTAAAATAATTTGTGCAGCTTCATGGTCGCAACGCATATGTACATATATCTGTATCTGTATCCCTCTATGTGTATTGTATACACGATGTTAATATTCATACACAGCTACATATATAGTATTTTTTATGAAATTCTTCATGCCGTTGCCACTATGTATTGCTAGATACTAAGCACATAGTAAGTATTTAAGATATGACGATTTACTCATTAGTTAGGCATATAGTATTATATTAGGTACGAGTATATGTATGTACAGTATACAAGAGTTTGCCTCTACATAAATGCTTATATACTTAAATAATAATATACTCGTATAGTAAATGGAGGAGGGCGATAAACTCTAGTTGCACTTTGCATTGATTTTAAATTTGAGATTCCGATAATCAACTATTTACGAAAAATAGATGCAAAGATACGCATTTCAGTTAATTGTTAGTTCGAGACTCATTTGACTTGCTAATTAAATGCTGCTTGGATTTGAGACTAAAAATAATGCAAATTTCCATATTTTGCAATATTTTTAGACTTGTATAATAATTGCTTGGATTTCTTTTGTTTATTTTTAGTTTCATTTTTGTTTTTGTTTTTGATTGTAACGGTTTTGCACGTACCTTAAAATATTTTCCAGCAAAAAGCTGTACACCCATTATGGCAAAAATTAGCCAAAATATTAGACACACCAATAGCACATTGAAGATGGACGGTATAGCTTGTACCAGCGCATTAACGACGACCTGGATTTGGCATTTTGCATTTCATTTTCGATAATTTGGTAATGGTTTTTCATTATTTATTTATTTTTATTTTATTTTTTTTTGTTATTGTCAAAATTATAGCACACAAATTTATCGGGTCGTCGTTTTTAATGTCGATGTGGGATCAGAAGAAGGGTTTTAGGTGATTGGGTTAAGTTTTGGTGTTGGTTTTGGTATTGGTATTGGCATTGGTATTGGTATTGACATTGGTTTTGATGCGTTCGGAACGGCATTACGTTGTGATGTACATGGTAGTTTGATGATCAATAGTTTTTGTTTTGGGAATAGAATATAATACAATAAATGCAGAGAGTTATTTAGTCAAGTTATAGTATATATAAATAGATGTATATATATATGTTAGTTATATAAGTAGGTATGGTATAGGTATTTCGTGTTATTTTGGCTACGTATAGAGCTTAGGATTGAGTGTATGCGCGTGGGTTAGTGGTGAGCTGTTTAGTTAGTTTATAGGCATGAAGATTGTAGCTTTCTTGTGTTCAATGGCATAGTACTATTTATTAACATGCAACGTGCATTTAGGACCCTGTTCAAGGGTTTCTTTTCCGTTTTTTAATGCAGCAGCAGCAGTAACAGTAACAATAGTGACAGTAATATTGACAATAACAATAAGAGAACATCTCACAACATTGCAGGCAAGCTGTATTATACATTCATACTATATATTGGAAGCGTGAATATATGTCTAATTCTAAGCGATTCTAAGTGCAGTTGTAGACATTCAGATATTGCTCGAGAGTGCTGAGTGTTTGCGATAAATACTATATATACATTAGTGCATGTTAATTTTAAATAAATATGGTATAGTTTATTTATGATATTGTGTGCTACGAGAAGAACACTTTTCTGATCATTTACAGTGACAATTTTAGATTTTAACTTGTTTCCGATTCGATTGCGATAGTATGAGCTGCCAATATCATAGCACGATTTGAATGCAGGCTAATATGTTATTAAATACTACTGCAGATGAAAGTCCGATTTCATACAAAACATTTCGTAGGTGATGTTTCAAATTTTGATTTGGCAAGTATAGCATTTAGTTCGAATGTCGGAGGAAATTGTGTGCCATAAACTATGAATATAATGCACTCCATGCACGCCTCAGTCTGATTGCGATCGTATGATTGCGTTCGGATTGAAGAGTACTTGATGCGCATGAGGTTAGATGGTAATTCAATTATTTAGCATTATGTGGGGCAGGCATATATAAGCATGTATGGAGCTAATTAGAAATCTTATATGGTAATTTGTCTACTTGATATATTTTGATATGATCTAATATTACTAAGAGCGAGCAGTTTTAGCGAGATAGAGGGAGAATAAGATGTAGCGAGAGAGAGAGAGACAGAGAGAGAAAGAGAGAGCGAGAGAAAGCGCGCATAACAGATGAGACGCAACTATTTTGTGAGAGATTGAAGTTTGAGATGTGAGAAGAGGTTATTTGGTTACTAGGTACTACTTATCAAATGTTGGAACTTAAAATTAAAGAAAATTATTTAAATGCTAAGCAATTTGAGAATGAGAAATACGAGTATCTAGTCAGTCAATAAATTACGGATGCATTTCAAAACGAACTCAAAACTCGACTGCTGCACTTTTGTGTTTTTTGTCTTTTATGACGTTTTTCTAATTATTTGACTAAATACTTTTAAAAATGTAGTTTTTGTTTGTTTTTGATTTTTGCATTAATTAACTTCTAATTGAAACGTATTTGGTTTTGTGTGTGGTTTTCGCTTGTTAGTTTGGTTACATGAATGTGTATAAGAGAGAAAGAGAGAGAAAGAGAGAGTAACAGCGAGCGAGTATAACAGTGTTTGAAATTAACAGCAACTGCAACAATATGCCAGTTGTGATTTGTACGGTAATTACGAGTATTTGTTATAAAATGAATAGCGCTGTTATTTGAATTTGATAAATGTAGTTTTGCATGTAGTTTTGAAATTTGGTTGTTTGGTATAGTTGATCTTGTTTTTTTTTTTGTTTTTTTTGTTTTTTTTTTTTTGGTTATGTATGAAAGTACGTACCCTCATGCCCTGCATACGGGACATGGCACGTAGTGGTCTCAGTGCTCTTAACGTTCGCATAGTCTTGAAGGCTTGAATACCACCAGCTCCAACAAGTGAAGCAACGAAGTTGATAAGCGATACCTAGTTTCGAATAGTTCGAATAGTGCCAAGTTTAACAATTTATATAAAAATCATAATCATATTTGGTTTTTCAGTAGTTTTGTTTTCGAACTTCTTTTTGGTTGTTGTTGTTGTTTAGTTTTGTTAGGTATGGTGTGGAGTGTTGAGTTTAGTTAGTATTTAGTCCTGTCGTATTTGCTGTTTCAAAACTTAATACGTATTAAAAATAACTCAAATAAGAACCAACACATTTTAAGCTTTTAACAATTTTCCACAATGAAAAATCATAAACTGCTGCTCGATAAACTGATACTCAGGGTAATGGACGGCGGGCCAGGCGGTCGCTCCTAACGAAACTTACTTGCTTGTACTCGTATAAGTGGTTGTTATTACTTAAAGTGACAAAAAAGAACATACTTAGATAGTAGCCTAGTATAAGGTATACGTATAAGTATAATAGTTTTTAAATAGTTGCAAATACATGGCAAGTATGTAAGTAGTAGTAGTAGTAGTAAACGCACATAAAACATGTTAACACATACATCAATATATATGTTCGAGCATTAGAAGTAGTTGTGGTTCAATATTACGCAACAAATTTTGGGGAATTATATTTTTTGTTTATTTGGTAGATTTCGTATATACTTATTTAGTAGTACATACTAGCATTTAGTATGGAGAGATCTGTAGCAGAAAAAACTAGTTTTTAGATATAAGAGACAAAAGTTAAAGGGTTACAAACACCGATCAATAAATACATAGTTTGGGACAAGAGTGAAGGGCAACATATTGTTTAAAGGACCAGCATAGCATTAGCTTATTAGAGATCATTTGGGTAGGAGTAAGTACATATATAATTGTCATTAGTCTGTAAAGGTTGGCTGTGGAAGCTCTGCTCTTGTACGAAACTGTTATAGGCAGGCATATAGAAGTATGAGAACTCTACTTTGGACGATGTAGTGGGACAGACAATTACAAAGAGGTTGTTCTTATGTGTGTCTTGAGTTTTATTAAGTACTATATTTTTTTATGTTGTATTGAATCTCACACTAAACACATGCTAAAAGACAAACACAGGCTATAATTGAGAACAAAATATACGCACCCTAATACGGCCGCACTATGCTCCACAATGGACGAATGCGGCATGCATACGTCGACAAAAATATAATGATTGATTCTGATTCTGATTCTGATTTTGAGTCTGATTCGGTCTTGATGCGCGACAGATATGCTGATGCCAACTATCAATTACAGTAGTAGGTCGATCTTAGTTCAAATACTTTGTGTTTTTACACAACATTCTAAGGTGCTGCCATTTTTATTATTTATACGAGTATGTACAATCGGCTACAAACTTACATATACGTGTACATATGTACTTCTTTATATAAAAACTGTTTGCGACTAGCGCTGCCGTATGCATTACCTTTTGGTCTATTGTGTAGCCGTGCGACGATTGGACTAGGTTTTATCATTTTTTGTTGTTTTCTTTTTAATGTTTCATTTTTTTTTTTGTTTGTTTTGGCTTTTGTCTTTATATTGACAGATTTTTGCTCAAACTTTGCTGCCGGACTCGATTGGTTTGTGGAACTTGTTGGTAGGCGTGCGAAGCACGCAATTTATCGTAGCCCAGACCAAGCGATTTAGAATTTTTGTTTTTTCTTTATGTGTATCTTTTATTTTAGGTTTTGTCAGACGATTCTCTGGCATGCGGCTTGCTTTTAAGTAAAACACTGCCACCACTGCGTATTAGCAATTTGTCAAATGATAACAATTGCATTTGTATAGCCAACTGCATGGGGAATGCAGTCGGCAGTAGTTTGTATTGAATAAGTGTGCAGTTATACAATTATATATTGGAACTATGGATACATAGATATACTTTACGTAGATCATTGAACAGGGGGTTTCTATACACTATCGACTTGGTGTCGAGAAGGTTTTGTACAGTGACAGTGCAGACTTGCATGGCTCATGGCGCATTGCGCAGCTCGGATATAACTCTTATATAGTATTTGGTGAAACTAAATTGGTTAGCTGGAGGGTCTTTGGGGTCGGAGAGGTTCTTTTTTTTTGTGGATTTCTTGTGTATGTGTTTCTGTGTAATTGTGGAATTGGGGCTGATAATTAACAGTTTTAGATATATAGACTACAATTTAAGCTAGGGGGCTGGGGGCTATGGACTAGGGGGTTTTTACTTTTCAGAGGATTGCTGTATAGTAGTATAACAGCCTAAGGGTATATCTAAACGCTAGTATTTAGTACATGGTTTTACAGTTAACAACTCTACCGATGTCCGACTATCTTTTTGAACCAAACTACATATGTATGTATATGTGTATAACAGTTATGTATATAATCTGTTGCCATTTCAATGAAAATTACAGTTTTTGTCTTTATAGTAATTTATATCCTATGTTAATTTTTTTTACTGACAATATACTAACTGTAACTGGTAAAAATATGATAGCCTGAGCCTAATTTTATTACAGTATAGCAGTTTGAGGAAAGGTTCACATATATACATATATATGTATGTATGAATATATTCGTAAGTATAATAAAGCTACATCTTTATAACGATACGGGGTATTTCATTAATCATTAAAAAGAGCAACTGAAAAGGAATTAGGAAGATTGGATTTAATTTAGATTTGCTTTTGCACAACTAAGCTAACGGACAGTAAAGCAACTCTTATACAAATATTAGCATAGTTTCATAAATAAACGATAAAACGACAGTTTAGATCAATAGCATATTAATTTGTATGTACAATACTTAAATAAAGGCATTAGAAATAATATATGTAGGTTCTGATTAAACAATGTACAATCTGGCCGGTAGCACAGTTAACAAAGGGCTAACCCAAGCTCGGTGGAAGCAACTTCTTGAAATTTGAAATTGATTATTCTTAGTATATATATTGTAATTATAACACATTTAGTGAGAGTAGGGCACGCAATATACAAAGAAATGTCACTTAAGTAGACTGAAAGTCGTCTACACGGTTTACACAGTATAACAGTTTTGAAATACAACATAGCGTTTGCGCACACATACAGCATAGGCATAAAAAACAACGTTTCAACACGTAGATCCAGCATATATATGTAATTTTTAGCGTCTTTAAACGGTTGAACGTCAGCTTATAATACAACGACGCGTGTGCCTAGTAAGTGCTGTTTTAACTATAACTGAGTATGCCGCTTCCTCGAATGTAGAAGAAATGTTTTTTTTAATAATGGACACCGAAGAGTTGACAGACAAGAGTTCATCTTGAAATGCGCAAGCAAAAGAGGCAGTATAACAGCTGGTAGAAGAAGGCTTTATCACTTGGGCTCTGTTACTGACATACTATACATACAAGTAGAGAAGCTGGCTGCCATACAATTCGCCAAGTATTAGTTTGTGTATAAGAGGTCATAGAAGAGTGGGAAATGTTATATTAATTATGTAAAAAATAAACAATACCCGCTTGTAGTAGTATGTATTGGCATTGGTTAGTAAAGATATTAGTTTTGGCATACGCGTGGCTTATCACACCTTTTTACACTAGGCACACCAACATAATTACAATGTTGACAGTAGTAAGTATTTGTAGTTAGTGTTTCAATAATAACACTTATTATAGATAGTTAAATAATATACGAGTAGATAGTTTGTGATACAACATTTAATGGCACGGCTTATTAGTATAGTTGATACAATTAATCACACCAACACGCACGCAATTACACGCACAAACACGCAGATACACGCACAGCAACAGAAAGAGAGAGTTAGAGTTAGATAGAGAGAGAGCGAGAGAGAGCGAGATCGACACAGAAACAGAGAGAGAGAGAGAATTGGAAGACTCTACTTACTTTCATGCCCTCCCAACGTGAAACAGCGCGCAATGGTCTCAAAGCGCGCAATGTACGCATCGAACGGAAGGCGGGCACATCATCGGCACCGGACCAGACCGCAGCCAAGTTAATTAGCGATAGCTAAACGACCATTACATAGGCATAAGTAGGTTTAGATGCCAATTAAATAAGGTAACAGGTTGGATTTTAATTTTGCATTTTGGATGGAGGACACAGAACTTAAAGTGCAAAATACGAGTACGCTTAGGCTAACTAAATGCTAGGCTAAAACTGTTATACGGTTACGATAGCAGCAGTATATATTTAATAATTTACATGTGGAGGACGCGTCTACAACTGGTTAAGGATCTTCTTATTAAAATACACATCTAATGTACATATTACATATGTATACATATATAATTTTGTGTATCTATAAAATACACATTGAATCACACGAAATCATAAAAAACATAAGAACATAACTCCAAAATGTTGCAATTGTTTTGTAGTAGGAAACATATTTATAGCAGAAAACGGAAAGAAATCATAATTTTAGTCATAATTGTTATTAAACCAAACATTCATATTCATTATTTTTGTTTCTTAACTTTTTTTGTTTATCATTTTTAAAACTCAGTCCACGGTCAGTGTGTCGGTGTGTGAAAAAGTTCTTATTCGTGTTGTTTCTATAATTTACTTAGTTTTTGTTTTTGTTTTTTTTTTTCAGAGTGTATGCAGATGTCCACAAATTGTTCGTTTTGATAACTTAAATAAAAGGGAGTCGAAAGCACTGGGACATGGCCAACGTTCAACTTACCATGACAATGACGAAATCGAGCCAGCACCATGCATTCGTGAAGTACACTTTGAAGCCGAGCGCCAACCACTTGATTAACATTTCCAAGAAGAATATTACCGTAAATATTCTGTCCATATAGTATAAAATATCCTGCAGTATGGGTCTTTGTGGCAGGTGTACATCTTCTAAAGCCTGTGGTTTGCAATTTTTGTGGGGGATTCAAGTTATTTAGAAAAGAGTTGTAGAACAAGTGGCTAAAATCAATACAAATACAAAAAGCTATTTATGAGTAGTATTAAGTTGTAGTTACGATTATGAACGAGCAATTGAAATGCGTATTTACGAGTATGTTCGGAAGTGAAGAAGAAGCTTTACTGGCAGTATATATATAATTTATGTAAAAGCCTTACTGTACGATTGGCACAGTAATTCTTTTTTCAGCGCAGGATAAAAGGCAACTTTAGTGAATATTTTTATTTCACTTCTTCATCTTTGTTTATGGACAAATCAAAGTCAAACGCAAGTAAAGAAAAATTTTCAAAGAAATTGAAGACAAAATTCTTGAAATTATACGCATAGGCGTCTACGAAGAAAGCTAACGCTAAAGCTACTCAAATTCCTAACTCTAAGCCAATTAAGCCAATTTGTAGGCCAAGCTTATTCTCTTGTCTATTTGCAAAAGCTCTCTTCCGCCTTGTGTCAAGACACAAGCCGTTTGACGGGGCTGTGCCTAGGCATAAGTTGGAATTTGGCTGATTTAATGACTCATTACATTTGAGTTCATCTATCGAACAGAAAAAATAATGTATTCAAGTTTAAGCCCTACTGATAGCAAAATTTAACAAAAGCTGGCCAATTTTCCGATCCGCGCTTCAACTGCAGATCTTGGTTTCATGAAACCAACGCTAAAGCCGATGTAAAGCTCATTTAAATGATAAGCACATTTAAATTTTGCTGTCAGTAAGAAAAATTAAAACGTATAAGCCTAATAATAATGAAAACTCTAAGCTAAGCTAACTTCTAGTAACCTCTAGCGGTTAACGAACAGGAACAAAAAATGAAGCAATCAACTTTGGTAAAGTTTAAGCAAGGCTTGATTAACTACATTTAGTTTTGTTCTTTTTTTTTTAAATTGGAAATTTGATATGAATTTCGAAACTTGTTCAATTGGTGTAAGCTACGTTATTGGCATTTTTGTATACATATTAAAAATGCAAATAAGAATGTAACAACAATTGTCGTAAATAAATAATTTAGTTTTGAAATTTTGAAATTTTTGTTTTTTTTTCTTTGTAGTTTTAATTGACTTACCAAAGCTAAGCTACTCATTAAAATCATAGTGATAACAGCTGTTTCAAAATATTTATTTTCAATTAATTGAAAAGTTTTCAGTCGTAAATTGCCCCATCCTTGCCAGAACGGCGAATCATCATCGCCAGCTAATATTGGAAATTTCTTATAGTACGAATCGGGGCAGCAATCAGCTGGATACTCGTCAAGTATATCCTCGTCGTGTGCATGTATTATGATATCACCGTCGAGTGGGCCTTCCTCGCATTCGCCCTCCTCGTCTAGTTCCTCGTCGAGACCTAAATCCTCTTTACTGACGTCACGCTTTTCCTCGCCTTCCATTGTCTCGGCGCTTCCTTTGTGGCTTTCATCCTTGAATGGTCGATTCTTATGGCTACCATATGAGTTTATGCTGGCAGTGTCGTCGTCCTGTAAGGACAAACCTCTATGGTTTAGCTCGTGTTCCAGTCTATTGTCTTGGTGGTTAATTGAGTTGCCAATCATCTGTATAGTTATTTGTATTTTTTTTTTGTTTTTTTAGTTTGGAACGATTTCAGTTCAAGTGTCGGGTTCAGTTGGTTGGATTGGTTGGTTGAGTTGAGTTTTTAGCATATTTTTTTTGTATTTTTGTTTTTTTTTTTTTGGTTGATTGGATTGTGGAATACACACACATAACAGTACACATATAGACAGTTATATGTAAAAAGAAAACAAATTAATGAACGAAAAAAAGAAATGAATAAATAATATAAATAAATTTGTTGTTGTTAAGAAATTAGTCTATATAACAATAAAATATATAGTAGTAGTTATATAGCAGTTGTAGAAGTAATATATATAAATATATTCAAAGAGATATACATATATATATATATTAATCAAACAGATTGGATCTGGCTTGTTTACCGTTGCGTTATTTAGATATTTGGATTTTTTCGGCTTGCTGTTCTTCATGTCGCCGTGTATTGTAAACTCCATGCCATCGCCAATGGCTACCTCCAGTTGTGTTTGCTCCTTGATCCCTTTTTTGATTAGGCCGTCAGCGAGGATCTCGTCGTGTCCCAATTCCAGTTCGTTGTCACCATGCTCTGCAGATATACAACGACAAACGTTCTTGCCTTTCGTATCCAATATTCGTTTCGATATTGATTTTTTTTTTTTTCAATATATGTATATATACGTAACGTAACATAGGTATGGATATATAGAAATATATGTATTATATTCTCAAAGATGTATGGATAATGACGATTTAGTGAAAATCATAAAATGAAATAAATTCATTCGAGCAGTTTTCGTTCGCATTACATTTGTTGTTGTTTGATCGATTGATTGATTGGTCGGTTGGTTGATTGGTTAGTTGATCGATTTGAAGTTCAACAATATGAATTATTACGTTTGCGCGTTGTTCGATACGTTGGCCAATACGTGGACAATGCGTTTAGATTGGTGGTTTGGAATTACATGTTTCATTTTGGAATTTACGATTTTTTGTTCAAAATCATGAGAGATACGCCATAATACACAAATGAAAAGAATATATTATAGATGGTTAATATCATATTAGGCTAGAATATGCATTTAATTACGTGGATACACACACAAAGGAACATAAAACACACATTAAGACATAATCTTCGAATGTACGCTTACAACACAACAGTCAACAAACCGCGCATGTGGATTATATTTAGTAAGGAGGAGTGATTATGAAGGAGTCAAGTGTTGTAGAGCCCATGTATTATGGCCTGTTGATTGAAGAGAGCACAGTGTCTGTGCATCTGTGTGTGAGCGATAGAGAGTGTGTGTGTGTGTGTTGGTGTGTGTAGTAGTGGCTAATTATCTAGCGCTTGATGTAGAAAATTAAAGTCGACTAATACAAAATTTATATGGATCGCGAAAATTGTGAGAATCGTCCTCCTATTCAGCCATAGAGACAATAAATGTTCATTTTAAAGTGCAGTTTATACTAAAGGAACAAAGAGGAAATTGATACTGGCATTTGTAATTTATCCGATTGCTTGCTTTTTAAAGTCTGTCACCATTTTTGTGCGCATAAAACCAATTCTTATAGTAAGAGTACGTCTACTAAAAAGCAAAGCTGATTTTATTGATGAAACGGCTCTATTTCGGAGCTGAAAATAGTAACATAGGGTTCAAAAGATTTAAAGAGAAATGTCAGCTTTAAATCGCCAAAATACTGGCTAGTTGGCTACGCTTTTTTAAAGGACATCACATTATCTAATTACTGTGCATCGATGCTTAATTCACTGATGTACAATATTTGAAGCTGGTTCAGCAACAAATTATTTTAACTATTGCAGATAATCAGCCTATAGCTGGCATTCCGGCTTTGAATTGCCTTTTATATACCAAGAAACTAGCCACTATTTCCCTCAGAACTGACTGAATTGAATTTTGATTGTTTTCTCACAATTTTCGGTCTTCACATAAGCGTAGTGTATTATTCGTTCTACATGAGTTCTATCTGTGCACGAAACGCGCCCACCCCTATGTGAAGAAAATTTAGATGGAAATTATAATGTTGTCTGTGGAAATGCATTTTTAAATTTTGTTCGGCGTCGTTTGTGTGCACAGATTTTTTGAGTAAGTTTACAATGTAAAGAGTATTAACTAAGTAGGCTTACTACAATTCTACTTAAGTTGTTAACTCAAAATAAATTCGATATATATATATTAGGTAACACAAATACATACGTACATATATATAGACACATAGATAGAAATGAAAAGTTCTTTACACTATGAAGGGTCAAATCCACTGTTTTACTTTCAATTTATATAATTTGATTTACGTTTTTAAATATAAAGATGGGAATATATATTTTAATGTATAATTTTTAAGTTAATCAATAATGACAGCTAGCAAAAATTTCAATTGTTTCGCAAAACCGTCTGCAATTTGCTAATTTCAAAATCAATTTTTGTTTTTACTTAGTTTCTTGCCTTGTCATGGTTTTTCATCAATTATAGAAGCTATGTCCAAAAATGTTCGATTTTTATTTAAAACAAACAGATATACAAGGTACAGGTGAATAGGTTACATAAAGCAATGTTTATGGAGGTATGGAATGGCGGTTCCCCAAACACTAACCGTTAGCTATATGAATACTATGGATACTATGGGAATAACGTTAATTGCTAAGGAGAGCGGCTGAAATTTGTTATTTAATCAACTACACAACTGTACTTATGTAGAATAGTGTTGGTAAATATCTAGGGAATTTTGTTGTTTTCTTTATACGTTTGTTTCATCTAAATACACACTAGCTATTTGATTTAAAAGAACAAATGAACGCTAAGAAAATGACTACTACGGTTCCATTGTAAAATAGATGTCAGCGGAAATGGCAAACTTAGCACGAGTTTTTCTGCCCATTTTTCAGATGAAAATATGGAATTGTCGATGGATATAGGAGAGTGCTTCTTGCCTTTTTTTTTGGGTTTGTTTGTTGAAAAAACGCATTGGAGTATAACAACAATTATGCACCTTCGTATCGAACGTAAAGAACATTGAGTTGAAATTATTACAAATAGAAGAAGAGATACGAATGTGAGGGCATGAATATGGGACGATTTGAATGAAGAGAATTTGTTGTCGCTTTAGTTTATACATGGGACGGTTTTTTTGGGGGGAAAACTAACTCAAAACATCAATATATGTATATATAAGTATACTTGATAAAAGAAAAGATAAATTGCAAATTGTCAGCTAACAACGTTTTACTGTTAACACGAGCTCTGATCTTTGGTTTGAATTCTTGCCAATTGAATTTGAATTGAAGTTAACGGACGATATATACGCAGTTAAGTCGTTATTAATATTACTGTTATTATTATATAATTAAAAGTAGTTTAGTAATTGAAAACAAGTGGATAAAAACCTTCGCTCCAAATCCAACTGATCTGGTTGGTCCTCTCACCTGATGGTTGATCACTTATTTGATTTGTCAATTTGTTACGTATTAACTTGAAACAATCAGCAATATTACGCTTAACCCAATTTTTAAATCGGCCAATGCGATTAAAGGCCTCGGCAATTTTGTTGGTATCATTGTCGGCAGTCGGTGCTGATAAACTAGATGAGCCAAAATTGGACAAAAGCAAGGCTAAGAAAAGGTTAAGTACCTGCAACGAAATACGTACATAGTATATGTTAGTAAGTTATTTGTCAATTTCATCCTCAGACTATGCCATGTTAAGTCTGGTTCGAAGATGATTTATAAATGTTAGATTTGCCTAAGTTGTTATGATAATGATATGATATCAGTTAGTAAGTCATTTACCTCTTAATCACTCTTTTTATGATTATCAATCAAACATAAATTTTAACCTATTAGATTGTTGTTGAAAAGTGTCCCAAAATGTGAGGTCTAATGGTAGTTTCTGGGGCCTTTGAAAATTTCGTTTACAAGGTATTTGTTCCAATTTGCCAGTCGGTGCCTATGTAACGTAATGTTCTGATATATGAAGACTTACCACAAGATTGCCGATGACGACGGTGGCTAAGAAGAACGGTATGCATGAGACATCGCCCACGTACATGCAGTCCCACATGGACTCGATCCACTCGCCGCATAGCACACGGAATACGATCATAAAGCTGTGCATGAAATCTGTGAAATTCCAGCGGGGCAGATCGCCATCCGGAAAACGATCTTTGTGATCTGATGAGACGCAAGAAAGAAGCGAAGAGACATCATTACAGTTATTTAGTGCTATTTAGAAGGTAGTTAAGGTGGATTGTGTTTATTTTTGTTTTTATTTATGTTTTATCTTCTAAAGCACAAATGCACAGTTAGGCACATTCAAAAGCGTGGGCAGTGTTCAGCGCAGCGGCAGCACTCAGAAAAAGTGTTGTGAAATGCGAGAAAAACCATACAGAACTAAAGGGAAAAAAGACATAAGCACGCGTTAAGGCGTTGCTTTTCCGCTACCTAAAGTGTAGCCACATACTTTTTGCTAAGTATTTATGAAAACAAAATCAAAAGAGGTAAAAAAATAGCGAGCTTTAAGGAAGTTATTTTAGCTAGAAGAAAAGGTTGGCCGCTTGCACGTCAGTACTTACAGAAGACACGAACGAGCAAACTTATCGCGTTTATGACCCCCAAATAGAACATAATTATAACTAAATTTCTTTAAATTTAAATTCGGCTCTTTTGCATTTTTAATATGTCAAATCAGAAAATATAGCACTGAATTAAGAATTGTACATAATCTAAATGATTTGAATATTTAGAAGGCAATGGTTATAAACATATATGGTATATAACCATTTGAAGGAAGTTGCGAAAGATCTCATGAAATTACCGAGAAGACGTCGAAGAAATTATCAAACATAAAATAAATAAATTTATTGCATATATTGTGAATTGTAGACAAACACACACACAAGTAAAACTATAAGATATAAAATTGCAAATTAATGAACATAAACATTTTTATTATTATTAACACAAACAACGACGAAACTTAATACGACGTATCACATAGAGAGATCATACACATGTATACATATACGATTAAGTGTACATATGTACATATGTATGTAGTGCTCCAAAGTTTTAAGGTTTTTGCAAAACCGATAACGCTCAAAGGAAAAACACAAACGCACATCGAATGTAATGTTAACCAAAGAAGTAGCGTTAGGAAACCAACGCAAACCAAGGCATCTATCACTTACCATGATAATTCTTTCCGAACAGTTGCATTCCCATCACGGCGAAGATGAAGATGATAATGCAAAGTACAAATGTCAGATTACCCAAAGCGCCCATGGTGCGGCCCATAATCGAAATGAGTAAATTAAGTGTTGGCCAAGACTTTGCCAATTTGAATACACGCAGCTGCAATTACGGATTTTGGGGATTTGCGATTCAGTTTGCGATTTCGTAGGGTTTGTTTTCATTTTTGGTTGTTTTTTTTTTTCGAATTTCAGGGTTCATTCATATATTTGTTCAATTATTCGGTTGAAATTTTAGGTAAGGTATATGGGAGTTTTTATTATTGATCATTTTTGTATTCGGTTTTAATTAGGTATCGTTTTGGTTTATAAGCCGGGCAAAGCATTAGGAATACATAAAAAACATATATTCATGTAGATTTTTATTAAAAATTGAAACGATCAAATGAAGCTTAACCGGAAAGTACGATGAAAATCAAATAATTAGCTACGAACTGACCGTAGTTGTTTGTCATTCACAGTAGTTGCCGTTGCCGTGCATATACTTCCAATGGCATTAAATACACTTTGCATACACATACCTAATACTCGTATATAGTATATGTATATAGTAAATCGGAAATAATGTTGTACATGCATTCAGCAGGCTCTGAATGCATCCTAGTCACAGCTCAGTAATCAGCCACCGTGAATGACATGCATCATATAAGTATTTACAACACTAAACAATTGACATTCTTAAGTATTTAGTATTGGGTAAGTCTAAAATAGAGTTGTTGTTATTGTATTGGGCCCAATTGGATTGTTGTTGTTGGACAACACTGTCGAACAGTGTTTTCAGAGTTGCATCGCAGCTTTGCCAAATATTATACGAATGGATAAAAGCTATTATTCCCAAAATTGAATTAGAATCTGTTTGGCGCTATTGCACTCGAATCTGCAGTGAAGCAAAAGGTATGAACATAAAAATCAAAAACCGTGCCCAAAGCATTGCCTTATTTGATGTTTCAGTTATTCATTATATTGATTTGATTTCACGCAATCGGCTAATTTGGAATTGATTGGTATATATGTAAGTAGTATATGTATGTTTAGTATTGTATGTAGGTAGTAAATAGCTATGTTTTATGTGTTTAACTAAGTTGTTAAGTAAGTTGTAAAAATTCAAAAAGTTAAGTAAAAAGTTAGAGTAAATTGCGCTAAGAAAATGCTGTAGAAAAACTGTTTATTGCACGCTAAAACTTGATTTTGTTTATTAAATGCTTGCTTGTTGTTGCTGTTTTGTTGCATTTTGATAGTTGTATCTGTTGTTGTTGTTCTTGTTGTTGGGCTCATACAATAATACCTGTATAGTTCTTGCCAAATAGCTGCATGCCCATTACCGCAAATATGAAGATTATAATGCATAAGACGAAGGTTAGATTGCCCAGCGCGCCGACAGTGCGACCCATTATCGAAATCAGTAAATTTAACGTTGGCCATGATTTGGCTAATTTGAAAACACGCAGCTGCAAGTTGGCAGGACATGGTGGGGGATACATTAACGGTTGTAACGGTGGTTTTCGAGTAGTGTTGTATTTGAGTGTGTTTGTTTGTTTGTTTGTTTTGGAATTCGGTAGATTTGAGTTAAAGTACACGTTAGTACGTTGCTTAGATTCAAGTTTAACAATTATTTAATTATTAAAATACACATGTAAATATATGTATTGGTATGTACTTAGAATAATCTAGTGTTAGTGATACTTAGGTTAATCAATTAATTTAGCTAATCTCATATCCGAAGCGGCTTTTAATGAGCCATATTTGCTTACCAAACGAAACGAACGCAAAACAGACAAGCCCTGTACACCCTCCAGACCCAGCTCCAGCAATGACAGAGCCACAATTATGAAATCGAATATGTTCCAGCCCTCTTGAAAATAGTATTTGGGACTCATGGCCATAAGTTTCATTGTAGCCTCAATCGCAAAGGTGGCCGTAAAAAACTTTCCGAAGAAGAAAGAAAGAAAAAGTTGCCCATATATGTAAATACTGTTTGTCTAAATATCATTAAAGGGAAGGCAGTTGTTGTGTTGTTGTACTCACATAATTGCCACTCTTTAGCACACGCTCCATTTCCTTGTTCATATCGTGATGATCCATGGCCATGAACATGGTGTTCACAACAATGCACAGTGTTATAAATAATTCAACAAATGGATCGAATACGATTAGTGATACCCATTCCTGAAATTTCAACCAAACCCAGCAACAGTCCCACACACAAAATACATCGATGCCTTTGAGTATCACTTCGAGCGCCTTGTCTTTAAACGTTGGTCCATCCTCGTCATCGTCTTCTGTTGGAAAATAGTAAACGGAGACTGAACCATACAAAAATTTGTTATTAGTTGTGATTTGACCAACTTTGACTCAGCCAGATTTTTAGATTTTTTAATTTTCTTTTGTTTTTGGTTTTTTTTTTTTTTTTTTTTTGTATAATATTTTTGTTAGCTTGAAGCTTCATTGCATTGGAAATTATTCGTTAGCTTTCTTTTTAACACTCATGCGCTTGGTGTGTATGGATGTGTGGGTGTGGGTGTATGTGTGTGTGTGTGTAGGTGTAGGTGTGCGCGCGCGCGCACTTTCGAAAAAGAGAGAGGCTATTTGGAAAATGAATAATACTATATATCAATTGTTACTGCAGCTAAAACGATATTTGCAACTCAACTGCACTACATAGAATGAATTTTCTTTGCTTTTTGTATACGTTTTTTAAATACTTGTTTCATTGCATTACTGAGTGGTATAAATGGAACATCCAAAATACTGTTCGTTTTTGTCTATTACGCATACGGATGTTGCCTTTTATATTGTGCGCTTACAAACAAAACCAACCAAAAGGAGCACATCATTAGTTTTACTTAATTTCTCCAATAAAATCAATATTAAATAGTATGTTGGTTTGCATAGGTTTGAATTGAATTGTCGAAGCTCTGATGCAAATCAAAGGAAGGAATGTGGTCAGTGTGCGATTTTCAATCACAAAACCGAAGCCAACTAATCACGATGTCCAATGAATGCTGGTTCCACTCATAACTGCTCAAGACGATCTTTCTGATGCAACAATTGTTTTGGAAAGACCATTGAAATCGTCGAAATAATACAACAAACCTTATTCTATTTATACACGGTATTTTTGTACACGGTTTTAATTTAACATTGATCATTTTGCATATGATCAATGTATTTTTTTACACGGTTGTTTTTTACACGACTTTTTTAGGAACCAATCTACCGTGTAAAAACAGAATTAGGTGTACAAGAGTTCCTATAATTTAAAATATTTCGCGTACGTTGTCAAACCGTGAATATAAAAGTCAACATTTTTTGTTTTTGTTTGCTGTTTACTGAAAACTAAAATATGTAGCTTATAGTGCGCTTTAATACAAATGTATACGCCTGCTAAATAGGAGAAAAAGTTTGGAGCACCTATAGCAAATAATGAAATACCCAGACCTAATTAAGTTGCCCTGTAAGATCGAATACTTTTTATATAGAAGACGCTCATTTTCCTTGCATTCATTACTATTAAGTTGTCAAAATATTAGCAATGTTTTCGGGGTCCCTGGAATGCTTTATAAGGCTTTGAAAATTTTGCTTGCTTAAAAAATGAAACTTCTATTACAATTTACTTATTTTATTAATTTATTTTGTTTCCTAGATGTTTTTGAAAATTCTCAGCTGAACAACCACGTACGAAAATTCGATTGAATAGACTTCATAAGAGTTTAGAAAATAATTTCCATTGCAGCTCAGATTTTATAAGATATTTGTTTTGGATCATTTTTGATTGTTTCTTAAAAACGAAAAAGTCGTTTCGGATAGGATCTGAATTCCTTCTATTATACAATTGGTATATAGTATCGACTATTTGAAACAGCCAAATATAGGAGCATCAAAACAAAACTATGTAGTGCCTAGAGATGGCTGGAACACCCTGCGATCGAGTATCGGTAGCTTTCTTGTGCGCTACCTACGCGCGAATCATATTCCAATACATAAAGTTAAGCAATAATTAGTCTCTTTATTTCACTTAAATTTTAGTAATTAGGCAGTAGGCCAACAAATCAATAGCGCTATAGATAAAAATTGTTAGTAAGTTTATATTTGCGAGTAAATCAAATAAAAGTCTGCATTAATTATATTAAGGTAGTTTTTAAATTGGACTTGAGAAGAATGTATTAAACAATTATGGTGAGGTGACTGTCTAAAATAAACTACAAAACTACTTAACTTTGTCGAAGTTAACGTTTAACAAATGCATGCGCGCTAAATAGTATTCAAAATTCAATTAGCTGAGAACGCAAACAAACTACAAATAGATAGAACTACTTACTATACGAATACGTATTAGAACAGAGTAAACTAGAAGAAAGCAAATTGTCTGAGGAACTACTAATGCAACTACTTATTAATAGAAAATACAAGGACTTATTTCGGTCATGCATTCAAAGTCAAATAATTCAAACAAGAGGAACAACAAAAGAAACGTACAATTTTTTAAAAACGAAAAGAAATCGAGAAATTTGTAATACATTTTGAACAAACGCTTCAAACGAAGTGAACCTCTCTGTTTTTTGTATGTTTGTGTTTTTGTTTGTTTCGTATTTGTTGTTTGCTTTGGCTGTGGCTTCCGGATTGCTGCCTTTGACGTAAACTGTAATCTTTGTAGTGGAGTGTGTGGGTGTAACGTAGTGATGGGCATGGGCTAGACTTTTTCGACATGATACAACACGACTCGACACGCGTGGCGATGATGCTTCATAAATTAGTATATGGATATAGGAAGAATAATGTGTTTCACAGAGAGTGAACATTTTGTGTAACTATATCGTAGAAAAGTTCTAATAAGTGCTCTAAAAGAGGCAACATTTTCTTTTGGATAATTACCAAAAAAAAAAAAAAAAATGAATTACGTGTATTTTACCGGAAAGTATTTTAAACATAGACATTTAAGACACTATTGTAAATTAATAGAATATTAAAGTACGTGTCCGCATTTTTAGGGAATTTGGTAAAAGTAGAATACGTATAGTATGTGCAGAAAATTTTTTGTTCGCGTTACTTTCGTGCTGTTCTCGTGCCCGGCACGACCAATGCCCACCTCTAGTATAGACGACAGCGTGCTGAGTTCTATATAATAGGTAGGAGTACGAGTACGAGTACGATTATGTGTGAAAGCAGCATTAAAAAAAGATGAAGCAGCTAAGAAGCTTGTTGCACGATGCACACCAGGCGCGTAGCTTTTAAAAATGGTTGCCTATTGTTATTATTGTTATTGTATTTGGACGCTGCAGCGTAGCAAGAAAATTGAATAAGAAATTGAAAAAAAAAAAATGGAAATTTAATTATTTCTCAGTGTGTGTTTGTGTGTTGGGGGCGTGTGTGTGTGAGCTTAGATTATACATAAATTTTAACTATTAGTGAAGGTGTTTTGCTTGCTGCTGTTGTTGTTCTTTTTTTTTATTCAATTTCTTTGTTGTTTGTTTTTGTATTTTTTTCTTCTGTTAGCATCAACGGCATTAAATAAAATGGACGAGTCAAAGAAGTCATTCATTTTGGTTATATATATATAAAATAGGTAGAATGTTTATTTTTATTATTTTCTTTTTTCTTGAAGTTTTCTTTTTTTTTTTGTTAGAGAAAAAAACATACAATGAGAATACAAAATATAGTTGAAATATTTATAGATAATCATAAAAAAATGTACGATAGAAAAATATGATTTGGTAGCAAATATTTTCATGGCGTTTTTTACATGACAACATGAGGCTGAGGCGCGTTCAACACAAATGCATAAAATTAATTAAAAAATAATGATAATAACGATATAAATAATTAAACAATTAATTCATTTGAAATCAATGCACAGGCTTATGCTCCACATGCAGCACGCTAGAGAAAATTTCAAGCCATCAATTAAACAGTCAATCAATCAGTTGGCAGCCGGCATACGACACGGCATGGGATTGCCGCACTCTTCGAGACCATCACAAAATGCATGCTTATGCGTAATAATAATAATGAGCATGATAATAATAAAACTCATAAGTGGTTAAGTTTGCGAAATCAATAATTCATATGCCATTGAGATTAAGGCCAAACAGACGTGGGAACAATAGCATGACTGATTCGATCGATTAAAAAGAACATTAATAATTCACTTTAAAAACACGAATGCATTTAAACGGCAGTACAGATTGAGCTAGTTTGGGCATCGAACATATGAATTAGTTAATTAATTTTTCAGGATTCTTTCTATTAATACTAAGAACATCTATTACAACATTTGAGCCCTGACCAGATACATAATATTTTAATCGCAAATGGATGAGAACATATCTTCTATATTATGATCTACAGTCACAATATTTAGCGCTTATATAGGAGCAGAACTTCGAGTTATGAGTTGGTGAGTTACAGCAGAAGGCATAGCTGTTTAGATAGAGGCAGAAAGAAATTCTAAGTGTATTCTGCTTGTGTCTAATTCAGAAATGAAACCAATATCAAGCTCTCGTTTATGATGGACTTGCCTCTATTGGGACTTGTCTTTTCCCGCTCTAAAGATTTCACTCGTATGAAAGAAAGCATCTGTATTATTCTCTAGATTTGATCTTTACATTTTAAGAAAAATTGAGTCGAATAAAAGGGGCGGGTTTTCCAAAGTGCGCGTAATGCGAGTAAGTGATCATGTTCAGAAATAATCTGCTACTATTTTTCACATAAAAGCACTCCTACTACCAGCATACTCATATGTTCGATATCTTAACCGGCTCAGCTGAACAAAATTAAATGAAAAAGTACAAGATTTTATATAGTACATACATACATAGTACATGAGCGGAAGCCCGTTTGTCACATGAACAAAATTTACGGCACTTATTCTAATCGTTTTATAGCAAAAATTAAAAGATATAATTTTGTATTTACATGAAGTTCTCAATTCTGAAGGAGAGAGAAAAAACAAAAACAGTACGAAATAATGCACATGTTAAGTTTGTAACACAAGAAACAAAAATGTACAGGACGATATCTGTATGTTGGTTAAAATTTCATTGTAAAAATGTACAAAATGTATTAAATGAGGGCAGATTAAGGTACACTTACCACCGCGATCACTAGCTCGACTATGCCGACCAGCGGCTTGTTCTATAATATCATTCAGGACCATAACATCTGCAATGGCAGACCCTCAGTTGAGCTCGAATACTTATAATGTTGAGGCTGCCCAGCGCACTTACCTTTCATGTCGACCACCGTTTGTGTCTGGACGGGCTCGATAAAGGATTGTCGTGATGTTTGAGCTTGCCAGCTTCGTCCGTGCACTCCAGGCCGATTTCCTGTTTTTAATTCAAACAAGAAACAATATCAGATCTAAATGCTCCTCTTAAAAACTGAATATGGCACTTACATAGTCCCGATGCTCTACCTTGTGATTGGTGTCCAGGCAGGTGGTGCCGCCATTCGTGGCGCCCACTGATTGATTGCGTGTATTACGATTACGCAACTTGCTCTCTTTGGTCATTGTGCTGACGCCCATGACGGCCATGCCGCCCAGCAGATCGCCATGTGAGGTATACGATATTCTGGACTGATGCGAGGTATACGATGAGTGTCTAGAGCCTGTCGGAGTGCCAGAAAGGAGTTCGTTAGTTTTTCATACATAACGTACGCATGAATTTTTTTACATGTTCGCATGCCATTTCTCTCTTAAACATTTCATTTCATTACTTAACATTTTTAGGATGAATCAATTTTGTTTTGTTTTCTGGTCAATCAATTTTCAATCTCTATTATTATAATTATTATTGGTTTTCTATTAAAATATTGCATCACTGTGTAAAAAAATACGCTATTCTACCATTTGGCGCAATATGTTAAAAATAAATGAATTTCATTTTGTCACTTTTCTAATTAAAGGTGGTATGGAATTTTTGATTTGGTTAATGATTGATTTCATTTGATTTCAGCGATTTAACAAAACTTATCTTTAGTTTTGGGAGTAAATTTTATGTCTAAAGTTTCAATGTGGACACATTTATCAAAAAACATTTCTAAATTGGAAAAAACTTGATCAGAAATTGAATTAAATATTGCTCGAACTTGAAGCATACAATAATATGGCCTCGATGTTGGCGACACAACAACAAATATTTACCAAACATATTCGATTTATAATATCGACATCTACTTTTTTTTGTTTGAGTGCCAAATTATTAAATTTGTAATAATGTTCAGAAATGGTAACCGTTCTTAGAAGGTAAATGCTAAATGGCCTACCTAAATTGCCATAATAAACGGGCACTATAATGGCACCATTCTCCTCGGACATCGGTGTGACGGCGTTCGAGTCATCGCATATGGCAGATGTTGTTGTGCATCCTGATATGTTGACAATACCAACGGCTTACGATCGCTACCGGGTATACCAAACCGGCCACGTCCATTGCGCATCGTGTACTGAGTTGGTTTGTTGGTAGAACTTTTGGTTAGTAGTGGCTTTATATGGTTTACACAGTTTAGTAGCAGAAGTAGTAGTAGAAGTAGTAGTAGTAGTAGTAGTAGTAGTAGTAGTAGTAGTAGTAGTAGTAGTAGTAGGGTAGTAGTAGTCAAAGTTGTGAGTAGTTTGCAAATATCATGACATAAAGATTATTATTTTAAATTATAAGCCAGAGATCTTCATGATTGTATGAGCGTTATAATTAATACGTTGATATGTGAAGGAAAAGAAACACGAAAACAAACCGAAGGACAAATAAACGAACCACAAAATTACACAACTCATATGCACTCGATTCTGTTTTGGGGAACACAATATACATATACATACATATATTGGGCTGTATCGTACAGTAGACATTGTTCGACATCAGACTGACAGATTAGGTAGACAAAACAAAAATGCAACAAATTCTGTACGAGTATGTGGCTGGAGTTTTGAGTCTACAATGAAAGTTGCAATAGTCGTAGGGGACTGGTGTAGTACTTAGTTAGTTATTGTTTTTTCTTCATTCTTTTGTTTTGTATTATGGTAGACGGGTAGTGGGCGCGTCAGTGGGAGTGCAAGATAAGACTCGCAATAGTATGAGCAGGGCAGTTGGACAGTTAGTTAGAAGTTGGTCAGTTGATTTGGAATTGGCGCGTGTGTGTGTGTGTGTGCCAGCTTGAAATAGTTCACAAAAAAAACCAACAAAAAAAACACAAAACCGAAAACCTACAAAAATACACAAACATACTTCATGTATGCTGTAGACCAATAATTATCCAATAAATACTCATATATATTTATGTAGATATAAAGTACATCTAAGTATTAGTTTGGTCACACTCTATCGGCAGTTACTTTTCAACACTAGACATTTAAGACACTATTGTAAATTAATAGGAATATTAAAGTACGTGTCCGCATTTTTCGGAATTTGTAAAAGTAGAATACGTATAGTATGTGCAAGAAAATTTTTTGTTCGCGTTACTTCGTGCTGTTCTCGTGCCCGGCACGACCAATGCCCACCTCTAGTATAGACGACAGCGTGCTGAGTTCTATATAATAGGTAGGAGTCCGAGTACGAGTACGATTATGGTGTGAAGCAGCATTAAAAAAAGATGAAGCAGCTAAGAAGCTTGTTGCACGATGCACACCAGGCGCGTAGCTTTTAAAAATGGTTGCCTATTGTTCTTATTGTTATGTATTTGGGACGCTGCAGCGTAGCAAGAAAATTGAATAAGAAATTGAAAAAAAAAAATGGAAATTTAATATTTCTCAGTGTGTGTTTGTGTGTTGGGGGCTTGTGGGTGTGGAGCTTAGATTATACATAAATTTTAACTATTAGTGAAGGTGTTTGCTTGCTGCTGTTGTTGTTCTTTTTTTTTATTCAATTCTTTGTTGTTTGTTTTTGTATTTTTTTCTTCTGTTAGCATCAACGGCATTAAATAAAATGGACGAGTCAAGAAGTCATTCATTTTGGTTATATATATATAAAATAGGTAGAATGTTTATTTTTATTATTTTCTTTTTTCTTGAAGTTTTCTTTTTTTTTTTGTTAGAGAAAAAAACATACAATGAGAATACAAAATATAGTTGAAATATTTATAGATAATCATAAAAAAATGTACGATAGAAAAATATGATTTGGTAGCAAATATTTTCATGGCGTTTTTTACATGACAACATGAGGCTGCGGCGCGTCAACACCAAATGCATAAAATTAATTAAAAATAATGATACTAACGATATAATAATTAAACAATTTAATTCATTTGAAATCAATGCACAGGCTTATGCTCCACATGCAGCACGCTAGAGAAAATTTCAAGCCATCAATTAAACAGTCAATCAATCAGTTGGCAGCCGGCATACGACACGGCATGGGATTGCCCGCACTCTTCGAGACCATCACAAAATGCATGCTTATGCGTAATAATAATAATGAGCATGATAATAATAAAACTCATAAGTGGTTAAGTTTGCGAAATCAATAATTCATATGCCATTGAGATTAAGGCCAAACAGACGTGGGAACAATAGCATGACTGATTCGATCGATTAAAAAGAACATTAATAATTCACTTTAAAAACACGAATGCATTTAAACGGCAGTACAGATTGAGCTAGTTTGGGCATCGAACATATGAATTAGTTAATTAATTTTTCAGGATTCTTTCTATTAATACTAAGAACATCTATTACAACATTTGAGCCCTGACCAGATACATAATATTTTAATCGCAAATGGATGAGAACATATCTTCTATATTATGATCTACAGTCACAATATTTAGCGCTTATATAGGAGCAGAACTTCGAGTTATGAGTTGGTGAGTTACAGCAGAAGGCATAGCTGTTTAGATAGAGGCAGAAAGAAATTCTAAGTGTATTCTGCTTGTGTCTAATTCAGAAATGAAACCAATATCAAGCTCTCGTTTATGATGGACTTGCCTCTATTGGGACTTGTCTTTTCCCGCTCTAAAGATTTCACTCGTATGAAAGAAAGCATCTGTATTATTCTCTAGATTTGATCTTTACATTTTAAGAAAAATTGAGTCGAATAAAAGGGGCGGGTTTTCCAAAGTGCGCGTAATGCGAGTAAGTGATCATGTTCAGAAATAATCTGCTACTATTTTTCACATAAAAGCACTCCTACTACCAGCATACTCATATGTTCGATATCTTAACCGGCTCAGCTGAACAAAATTAAATGAAAAAGTACAAGATTTTATATAGTACATACATACATAGTACATGAGCGGAAGCCCGTTTGTCACATGAACAAAATTTACGGCACTTATTCTAATCGTTTTATAGCAAAAATTAAAAGATATAATTTTGTATTTACATGAAGTTCTCAATTCTGAAGGAGAGAGAAAAAACAAAAACAGTACGAAATAATGCACATGTTAAGTTTGTAACACAAGAAACAAAAATGTACAGGACGATATCTGTATGTTGGTTAAAATTTCATTGTAAAAATGTACAAAATGTATTAAATGAGGGCAGATTAAGGTACACTTACCACCGCGATCACTAGCTCGACTATGCCGACCAGCGGCTTGTTCTATAATATCATTCAGGACCATAACATCTGCAATGGCAGACCCTCAGTTGAGCTCGAATACTTATAATGTTGAGGCTGCCCAGCGCACTTACCTTTCATGTCGACCACCGTTTGTGTCTGGACGGGCTCGATAAAAGGATTGTCGTGATGTTTGATCTTGCCAGCTTCGTCCGTGCACTCCAGGCCGATTTCCTGTTTTTAATTCAAACAAGAAACAATATCAGATCTAAATGCTCCTCTTAAAAACTGAATATGGCACTTACATAGTCCCGATGCTCTACCTTGTGATTGGTGTCCAGGCAGGTGGTGCCGCCATTCGTGGCGCCCACTGATTGATTGCGTGTATTACGATTACGCAACTTGCTCTCTTTGGTCATTGTGCTGACGCCCATGACGGCCATGCCGCCCAGCAGATCGCCATGTGAGGTATACGATATTCTGGACTGATGCGAGGTATACGATGAGTGTCTAGAGCCTGTCGGAGTGCCAGAAAGGAGTTCGTTAGTTTTTCATACATAACGTACGCATGAATTTTTTTACATGTTCGCATGCCATTTCTCTCTTAAACATTTCATTTCATTACTTTAACATTTTTTAGGATGAATCAATTTTGTTTTGTTTTCTGGTCAATCAATTTTCAATCTCTATTATTATAATTATTATTGGTTTTCTATTAAAATATTGCATCACTGTGTAAAAAAATACGCTATTCTACCATTTGGCGCAATATGTTAAAAATAAATGAATTTCATTTTGTCACTTTTCTAATTAAAGGTGGTATGGAATTTTTGATTTGGTTAATGATTGATTTCATTTGATTTCAGCGATTTAACAAAACTTATCTTTAGTTTTGGGAGTAAATTTTATGTCTAAAGTTTCAATGTGGACACATTTATCAAAAAACATTTCTAAATTGGAAAAAACTTGATCAGAAATTGAATTAAATATTGCTCGAACTTGAAGCATACAATAATATGGCCTCGATGTTGGCGACACAACAACAAATATTTACCAAACATATTCGATTTATAATATCGACATCTACTTTTTTTTGTTTGAGTGCCAAATTATTAAATTTGTAATAATGTTCAGAAATGGTAACCGTTCTTAGAAGGTAAATGCTAAATGGCCTACCTAAATTGCCATAATAAACGGGCACTATAATGGCACCATTCTCCTCGGACATCGGTGTGACGGCGTTCGAGTCATCGGCATATGGCAGATGTTGTTGTGCATCCTGATATGTTGACAATACCAACGGCTTACGATCGCTACCGGGTATACCAAACCGGCCACGTCCATTGCGCATCGTGTACTGAGTTGGTTTGTTGGTAGAACTTTTGGTTAGTAGTGGCTTTATATGGTTTACACAGTTTAGTAGCAGAAGTAGTAGTAGAAGTAGTAGTAGTAGTAGTAGTAGTAGTAGTAGTAGTAGTAGTAGTAGTAGTAGTAGGGTAGTAGTAGTCAAAGTTGTGAGTAGTTGCAAATATCATGACATAAGATTATTATTTTTAAATTATAAGCCAGAGATCTTCATGATTGTATGAGCGTTATAATTAATACGTTGATATGTGAAAGGAAAAGAAACACGAAAACAAACCGAAGGACAAATAAACGAACCACAAAATTACACAACTCATATGCACTCGATTCTGTTTTGGGGAACACAATATACATATACATACATATATTGGGCTGTATCGTACAGTAGACATTGTTCGACATCAGACTGACAGATTAGGTAGACAAAACAAAAATGCAACAAATTCTGTACGAGTATGTGGCTGGAGTTTTGAGTCTACAATGAAAGTTGCAATAGTCGTAGGGGACTGGTGTAGTACTTAGTTAGTTATTGTTTTTTCTTCATTCTTTTGTTTTTGTATTATGGTAGACGGGTAGTGGGCGCGTCAGTGGGAGTGCAAGATAAGACTCGCAATAGTATGAGCAGGGCAGTTGGACAGTTAGTTAGAAGTTGGTCAGTTGATTTGGAATTGGCGCGTGTGTGTGTGTGTGTGCCAGCTTGAAATAGTTCACAAAAAAAACCAACAAAAAAAACACAAAACCGAAAACCTACAAAAATACACAAACATACTTCATGTATGCTGTAGACCAATAATTATCCAATAAATACTCATATATATTTATGTAGATATAAAGTACATCTAAGTATTAGTTTGGTCACACTCTATGCGGCATACATACATATTTACAACACAAATATGTAAAGTTTAATTTAACTAAAGATATATATATATATATAGAGTTAATCGAAATAATAATATACATACGAGTACATCATATACGGAAATCTGCGTACTGAGTGACTGTGGTGTGTAACGATTATTTATGCATATCTGTGTGAGTGTGTGTGTGTGATGCTGAGTGGGAGTGATAGTGCTCGAGTGCGCAAGTGTGTGTGTGTGTGTGTAGGTGTGTGTATGCGTGGGCACACCCTTTAAAGAAGTCAGCATAGAACCAAAATGAACAATATATACTTCTGCCTTGGGGCTAAAGTAGCCCCTCAGGGGTCGGTTTCAATTGGTTGCAGATGGACTACTGTGAAGAGCAGTACAGAACATAAACGATATGCGAGTACACAACAGTTAAGTTCTAGAACGTACACCGCTCAACATAGAACAGGCTCACGTACACACACACACACGCACAACCACAACTGATAGTTAGTTACGAGTATATGTTATAAGTTTGTTCGAGTAGTAAATAAGTAGGTATAGATAGGTGGTATGTAGAAAATCAAGTTAGTTACACAAAACAAGACAAAAGTATTGCTTTACGGCATTATCGTACTAATCATATTGTTGAAGTGTATGCGATTACGATTAGTGATATGATAATATTGATAGACATGTACGACGAGACATAAGTTTCTGCTTTATCACAGTAGTATGTATATATATATATATATATATATATATATATATATATATATATATATATATATATATATATATATATATATATATATATATATAGTACGAGTAGTACGAGTAATAGATAAAAACATATATTGAAAACGAGTTCTTAAAAGTGAGTGAAAAACCTCTTATAAATGGCACGAAATTTTATGTATACGAGTATATGTGTGTATGTATTATATGTATATGTGTATGAAGTATGTATGTACTATATATACGTACTATATGTATAAAGGGGTATGTGTCACTATAAATGGCGAGACTATAATAAACTTATTTACATTATTAACTAACAGCTGAGTTTATTAAATTCTCTGGAGTTTCACAAACTCTTCAATAAACTGAAATATTAATAAATACTTGTATATAGACTGATATACGCAGATAGTACTATGTGTATTATATGGATGAATATGAGGATACTATATATGACGAAATATTCAGCACATACATATGTATATACTATAGAAATTAGTATTTGAATGTAAGACTCTCTGTTTGACTCTATGACTGAGTGTGTGTATGTATTCATATTAATTTGGTATTTGAAATGCATTGTAGAAAGTAAAAAACGCATTTTCAATTTTCTTGTAATTTTGAATATTTCGTTGTTATTGTCGTTGCGGTATTGTTCTGGTTGATCAGGAGGTGCAGCACCAGATCGGCACTGTCAGTTGATGTTTATGTGTGTGTGTGTGTGTGTGTGTGTGTGGGAGGGGGTGAGTGTGTGTATTAGGCGCTTACCTTGTGAGAACTACGTGATCCCCTGCGTATGTTAAACGGTGAACCAGGTAAGGATAAGGATGTCTAAGTTTGGTATTTTGTTTTTTTACAAATAAAATATAAATAGAAGAAGAAAAAGAAAAATGAATCAAATAAAATATATTTATATTTATATTCCTGCTATTCATATAATATTGTTGAAGTTATAAAGGAAAAATTTGTTGTATTCAAATTGTATTGTGGTTATAAATTGTTCACTTCTGTGAATATGTGTCTCTGTGTTTGGATACCGGTGTTTGAGTGTCGGGTGTCGAGTGTTTGGGTGTAGGTGTGGATGTCTAAGTGTTGAGCGTAAGTGACTAGAAAAGGTTGATCATAGTTTGAGCAAGTTATACAATATTTGGTTGTGTAACTTTAGCTTGAGATAAGCGCAAATTTGAATATGATTCAATAACTAATTGTTAGCTACATTTTCTATAATTTTTAAAACTTTAATTACTCATTTGCCATTTTAGCATATGTGTATAAACTGTTTTGTGTGTTTGAATGATATATTTATTGTTTTTTGGTTTTTATTATTATCATTTCAATCAGCTATAGCGCAGCTATTGAAGAAACAAAATTTGCATATTATATCATCTAATGACTGGAAAAGTACTCTACATTATGAAAAAAGAGAGAATGCTAAAGTCGATCAAACCCGACAATAAAATACCCTGCACCCATGCGTTGTTACATGCGCACATATATGTAGAAATATCCAATGGACTGGCATGTTGACACAGTGCTGAAATAAATCACACTCAGCACGTATAAGTAAGTAAGTATGTATATGTTTGTATGATGCCAGCTAATTAAAGCGTTCGTTTGAAGGAAGTATTACAAAAGCCAAAATAGGAGGTAGAAGAGGATGCGCTGCTGGATGCGTATTACTACGTTTTGCTAATACCTTTATTTGAGAGAACTACAAATCATTATATTGTCTTTATGAGATTCTGTAGCTGAGCAAAAGATGGAGTGATTAGGAGAGTATACATACCAAGTTTGGTTAATGCGGGTTCAGGCGTTTCGGAAATACAGACGTTCATCCAGACGGACGGACATGCGTAGACCGATTTGTATTTTGTATAAATCTAATATTCTGTTCTCACACTTCAGGTACAGGGTATAGAAATACTTAATTGTAGTTTTTGCCAACACAAACAATTCTTTAGTAATGATACAATGATGATACAAAAGCAATAGCTTTCGTTTTATCTTGTTGAAAACAAGTAAATATGGCTCTGAAATAATTAAGGGCCATGGATTATTTAGACCCTCCAATATTTCTCAGACACCGTCGAACGAATTACTGTAGTTAGTGTAATTCGCAAGAATTTGCAGTCGGTCAGAAAAGCATATTGGAAAGATTGTGAAATGGGGAATCTCAAATAAGCGCCTTACATTTAAATTATTGAAATGCGCCCATTTTAATCAATTTAAAAAATAACAAAAAATAATCATAATTAAAATACCACTACGTCACTTAACGTCAATTGATTAATAACTCAATTTCTACGGGCATAGTGTAATTCCTTTGCCAAACTCTTACGGATGCATTTCTAATTTCAAATTACAAGACTACGGTTGGAATGCCGCGTTCTTTACGAGTATATCTACGTATTTAATATGCAGAATTTAATGGGACTGAAGGAACTTTTAACGTTAACTTTTAACGTATAATAGGTAAATCGATGAAAACTGGAAACTGAAGTCGTTAACAAAAAATTTGTGCGGTAAAAAGTGTTGGCCTTTGTGTTAAGTATGTGTAGAATGCTCCCTTATGTTCCATTTAGTAGAAGCTGCGCTACATTTTCAAAATCTAAGCAGTTTTTGCGCCGCACTCTTTCCTGTTTTCTGCTATCCACACTCTTTACTTCTCGCATCTACCAATTTGTGTACGCATGTTGTTTTTTCAGTTTACAGTTTTCTGTTTGTTGTATGTACTAATAATTATTATTATTAATTTTTTGATAGAGTTAGTTAGATAGAGAGAACATTAGAGGGAACCTACCTGAAGCGACTTGTTGGAGCTAAACTCAGTTAGTTTTTTGGCGTAAAAAATAAATGAGTTTGACTTTGGCTTTGGCTTTAGGCTAATGCTTATGCTTATGCGTATGCGTATGCGATTGCGTACAAAACTAACTGAATTTGTAATTTGTAAAAAAGGCTCAGAGCAATTTATGGGCTTAATGCCCCGGTAGTATAGTATAATACGAATTAAGAATGAGCTTGCGGGCGAGCGAGAGAGCGAGCGAGAGTATTTAGTGAGCGAGAGATTCATTGATTATATTCATACGTATTTGTTATTGAATATATAGCATGTATGTTTGTGGTAGTAATAGGGGTTTATGGCGTATTTAAATATATTGAAATGTAGTTGATTATAGGTGATTGCTCATAACCTTTTCACACATACTTTTTGATAATATGCGAACTGGACAAAAGTAAAAGAAGGAAGTACATCACAGGTTCCAGGTTGACTTGAAAAAAATAAATAACTCAAACTGGGGAAATTTAAAAGAGAAAAATGGCCTTGCCAAATTGTTGCTGTTGTTGGCACCGATTTGGCTGACAGCTTGCTATATGTGTGCCTTTGTGTGTGAGAGTATAGGTGTTTCTGTAGGTTTGTGTGGTTGTACAGACAAATTGTTCATCGAGCATGAATTGCAACTTCTCATTGCGTTTTCTCATGTGCCAAAGAAAAGTAGCAGCATGTGCGCAAAGCGTACGCCGGCTCATAAATATTTATTAATAGGTATATGGTATATGTATGTATGTTTGTTTATAAGTATATACACAAATAAAACAAATTAAATTACTGGCAAATAAAGGGAAACTTAAACAGTAATCGTTGTACTTGTAAAGGATCAGCATTGTAGTGTTGTTAAGAACTAGCTAACTTTTTGCTATGCCATTCTGCTCGCACATGCCCAAAATATTATAAATAAGTATGTACCCGATCAGACATGTCAATGTTTGTGTATGTGTGTGTAATTTAGTGTAATTATTTCTGTGGTTGTAGGTTCCTTCTACTGTTTATATGCAGGCAAGCTTTGCCCAACTGCTCGACTTTAAGGAGACAAGGCAAAAACTGTTCAAGTATTGCTTGAGTTTTAAGAATTCGTTTTTATATGTAATTTACTGGGCAATAATAACATATGTTTTTAGTTTCGGATCTTTACATAACGAGTATAAACATTCAAAGAGAAATGCAACTACTATTAAATGCATGCAAATGTAAATGCAGCCATGTATGTACTTCAAAAAATCAAATAAATAACGTAATAGTACACAGAATGATCAATAAATATAACGAATGTGTTCCTATCTCAAATTTTTCAGCCAACGTATAAATAACCATTTTTCTCCACGACATGATTTTTTTTTCTCATTGCAGCCCAAATGCTCCCTCGTACCTGTTTTAAATCCAGCAATAACAATTTGTTTTAAAACTGATTTAACTTTAAGTATTTACCCTAAATTCTAATCATAAATGTGCATTTTTTAGCACTGTGTGTCCAAACTTGCATCGTAGTGCATGCTCCGACAATCTTCCTATGACCATTCTTCTGTGGCATGATCAATCATTTATGTCCATATATTTTTAATGACTAAAAAATGTCTTCTTTTCAATATTATAACAAATACTAACATAACTAAAAGAACACAATTAAACCCCACCTTTTCTACTCTTACTGTTGAACAAATTAAATTATACCAACTAGACACTAGACAATTTTTCCTTCTAATTTATACATTTGTTGAAAATTTTGAAATTTTTGCACGCAAGTTCAATGCAAATGTATGTATAAACAAAATCAATCTTCCCCCATGAATTTTGTATGTATGCATAGATTTAAAAACGAGCAAATAAAGAAGCGTAAATACGTAGGTCAATCAGTTAAAATGTTAGGCAAGATGATTTGAAGGTGCTTCAAAGCAAATAGACCTATTACTGTAGGTACTGTGGCCCGGAGATACGTTTGCACTATGAATTAAAAATTTTGTTTTTGTACAGCTTGTGTCTATTTGAAAAATAATGAAAACTGAAAATGTATAAGTATAATTAAATTCAAATTCCAATTTTGAGAAAAAGAACATTGTCACCTAAAGCATTCCGAGCAATGAGCCAATAAGAAAAGAACAAAATTTAAGAATATACTTATATGTAGTTTTCTCATAAGAACAATAAAAATTTCTATCCAGCTGCATGAAATAAACTATCGAGAATATTCAACCCAGGTATTCGCAGAGATGAAGAAAACTCATTCACACAGAAACACACATTCAAATGAGATACATGCAATAACTTGATAACGAGCTTTTTTTGAATGAGAAAAAGAGGCAGCGATACAGATAGATACGAGAAAGCTACGAGATAGCTTTAAATTAAATCAGTGGTGCGTTTTAAAATCTTGATATGGAGCAACTGCTTGACTGCCACAAAGGCGATGTATGTACAAACACATAGTATTTAAAGTAATATTCAAAGCAAGATAAGGGCTTTCAAATTTCTATCGAAATCATATCAAGAATAAACATTTGTTAGCTTCCCGAGATAATCAATGATTTTTAGAATACATTTTATGTATTTGCACTTCGACAATTAGCTTTTATTAATGAAAACATTAATTAAAATTTCAAGGCTCAAGTAATAACACATTTAAGGCGGACCACTGATTCAAACTGTAATGGCATATGCAGATAGGTAAACCATAGCTAGGCTAATAATCATATTAATAAGCATTCAAATTATGATATTATTATTAACGATTATTGTATGAATCAATAGATATGGCAACTAACTCAGGATGAATAATTTTTTAAACATAGGCAAATTAAAAGCTTTATGCGCAAATGCCATCCATGGATTTATATAGATACCGTAAAGTATAGGAACATAGCGATTTAGAGAGGGACGGGTGCACAAGAGCACGAAACAGCGCTCAAAAAGAGAGAGGAAGAGAGCTTCTGGCAAATGCCTTGCATATTAAACTCGCAATGCGTATGCATTGAGATAGAGAGAGAGATAGAGAGAGAGAATGATCTTAGCTGTTTCATAGCTGCGATCTTTTTGGCACTTTTGCATGCAAGGACAAAGCAGCGAGTATGATTGACGTTAGCAGCGCGCTATGCGTAAAAGGAATAAATGTTGAAAAATTAAACGTCATAAATAGAAAACAGAAAATGTTGGGAAATTGATATGCAATTGAATCATAAATCAAGGCATGTCAATCATTCATACAACACTTAAAACTAAAAATGTTAATAGGCCAGCAATTTAGCTGCATACGACAAAATCAAAACCAAACCGAATCACCAATTCTTTCAGTATTCCCATCAGTATCACAAATAATAAAACGATCACATTAAAAACAATAACGAAAAACGAAACAAAGAAATGTTGCGCTCGGAATACTTACCGTGCTCGGTTTACGAACTTTGGTAGCTTGGTGTGCTGTGGTAGGTGCTGGTTGTCTTTGTATAACGCTCACCGACTCCGACTCCACTTCGACGCTACGTATGGACATCTTCTCCTTGTTGTTGTCATCGTTGCCCTTCTCACCGCCCACGAACAGCTCGTAGCTAATGCACGAGTATGTTGGACTCTTGGCCATTTCGGGATGCAGTGCAGCCTCTTCAGCAGCTGCTGCGTCAGCGGCGGCCTGCGCCTGCGCATTGGCGCGTTCCTCCAGCTTGGCAGCTTTCGCGGCGGCCGCTTCTTCTGCTTCCTATAATGACATACACACAAATACCAATATTTCTTCTTCTTATACATGGTGCGATGGTTCGTCAATAGCGACTTAGAGAGGGGAGTGTGATCATAAACAACAGAAGACAAACTACTTCATAACATATTGTACAGTGCTGTGCATTGGAGGGGAAGGGACAGGCAATTTTTATAAAAGTATTAGGTACTGTACTGTTTTTTTCTTCTTCTTTTGTTCATTGCCTCTTGTATTTCATTATTTTATTACATTAACGTGAGCTTAAAATTTAGTTTGAGAGAAAAAAGTAAAAGTGCACTAAAACAAAAGTTGGAAGAACTAAATAGTTGGCTATATATGTACATATATAGTGAATATTAGTTAAATTTGGTGGCCAGATTTGATAAGTTGTCTGACAAAGCTTTGATATTTGAATGATAGCAGCATAACAGAATCAAAAGGTAAGGTCTTTGACTTTAAGAAGAAAGTATACGTTATAATAAAAGAAATGGCATTAATATGTTTTCAATCTTACGTACATACATATAAGTATTTACATACATTTATGTATATGGCATACATACATATATGCAGTCAATAGTTAATAGAAAGTTATATGCAGTTATATAGTTGTTATTATATGTAGATATATAGTATGTAGTAAGTATATGCAAGTAATACGAGTATCACAGCTACAAAATCGTACAAAACAGGAATCGATCATGACATATGGTCAGACGATACGATACGATACGATATGATACGAATACGATACGAGTATATTTTGACAGTTATATAGGTACAGTTATACACATACAATATGTAGTTTGTTGTTAATACGTACAAAAGAAAAAGCAACTCTGTTGTTCAAGTAAATATTTTCAATAGTCAATCGCACAAATTGACATTGAAATTATTTACCATTGGCAGTGGCTTATGTGAGTGGTTTATCCGTTTCGCTTTTGTGTACAATTCGGTTCTCTACTTACACGTATCGCCTCCTCTTCGGCAGCCTCCTCTTCTTCGGCCTTCTTTTGCAATTCGTCATATGACATGGCAACAATGGCCAAAATCAAATTCACAAGATAGAATGAACCTAGGAAGATGATGACTATAAAGAACAGCATGTGCCAGGGCCCAGCGGCTCGTAACACCAGCTGGTAGAGATCCTCCCAGAAATCTTGGGTCATCAAACGGAATGCGGATAGAAAAGCCCAACCAAACGAATCGAAACTGGTGTAGCCATAGTTCGGGTTCGGTCCGAAACCCTGTAGACACACATAATCGTCATCGCATTGGCTGTGCAATGAGACAAAGAGCAAAGAGACAAAAAAAAAAAAAGAATGGCAAATACCATAGGTGCATCAGGTTGTGAGTGCCAGATCGATCTTATATATATGTATGTATGTGTATATGTATATATGTATGTATGCATCTGTATAGTATGATTGCGATGCTTACCCAGCGCCGGAGATATTACCGCATAACGGATATGATATACCATCTTCTGTATACCAATTCGAACTGTTATGGTTGTGATAGGCCCAATTTTCATCGGTCAAATTGCCCCATGAGCCATCCAATGGAAACTTCTTGACGCACTTCTGCGTCAGCACACCCATGTAGATTTGTAGGCCCATCAGCGCGAACACCGACAGCGAGAACATTGTCAAAATTATCACATCGCGCAGATTTTTTACTGATTCGATGACAGCGCCGACAATGGTTTTCAAGCCTGTTTATTTTATTTTTTGTTGTCGTATATATGGGGAGGAATTTTTATTAAAATATTTCAGTAAGTATAATAGCAAAATAGTAAAACAGTTTTGAATTTTTAAATATTGCACAAATTATATACTATACTACATTCATACCTGGCACGATGGCTACGGTTTTAAGCGCTCGCAGCACCCTAAATGTTCTCAAAGCTGCGAGATTACCTAAATCTATACCCATGGTCACATAACTGTTGATTGTTCGCAATCGTCGATCATTGTTGTTGCGGTTCATGTAGTTCGGAGGAAGACGACGAAAAATAAATATACATACACATATCATTAAATAGTTTTTTTTACGTATGTATGTGAATAGTTAGTTTAAGTAAACGTTTATTTTGCTTCTTTTTTTTTGTTTGTGTTTTTGCTTTCAAAATCGAAATATTAATATATGCTGTCGTTAAATATACAAATGTTATCAAATATATGTTGGAGTAAGAAGCATTTGCTTTACGTTTGCAATTAATGTTTAACTTGAAAATGAAAAGGTCGTTGTAGAAAAGCAAAATACAAGTAAATACTCGTATATTTAATAAATGTGTGCCATGTTTGAGATCAGTGCTTAGTATGGTGTGGTGTGGTGTGGTCTGGTGTGGTCTGGTGTAAGTGTGAGTGCAAGTGTAAGCATAGAGTTATGTTAAGCACGACCGAGACTCTGCTCTTCCCATCCCAAAAAATATTTCAATTTCAAATGTATGCAATGAATTTAGCTTTCAGGAAAGTGAGAAAGACATAAAAATAGCGACAAACACACTTGGGTGGGGTCTGGTCTGTACGTCCAACGAGTTTATTATTCATTTTGTAAATGAGCTCGAAGCCCCAGCAGCAACAGCTGGGGGACACCAACACAAACATGCGTTTTTACATGGAAACTGTGTTTGTGTGTGTTTTCGTTGGCGCTGGGGGTGCACACCTGTGTAGGTGCAGCCACTGTCAGTCAAATGATCAATACAAAAAGTGTGGCGTGGCTTATGCTATAAAAATATTTATACACGCACACAATCATCGCATGAAAATAGCAAGGCAGCTTCAAAGCTTCACACACACACACACATACTCCTACAAATCAATACACTCACACACACACCCACACAAGCACCTGCACATTAGTGTTGCTGTGTCAGTTGGTCGCTATCTGCCCGGAATGTCCGTTTGTTTGAGTTGTGTGCGTGTCGCGTTGTACGTCATCCTCTGGGAATTCATTCTTCCTTCTGCAGCCACGATTCCCATTTATATTTCATGAATATTTATCGATTTGCCTGCCATTTATGCCGACTAATGCACAGCACACATACAGAGGCCAATTGAGGCGCCAACCTACTATTTGCATGCAGTATGGCTATATAATTGCTGTCGTCATCGTCTCGTCAAAGAGCATTAAAGCAAATGTTCAGTTATTGCCGCTGCACGTATGCAGATATTATATACATTATCTGTTACGTTCGGTTTTTCCACACAATAGGCAACTTGATTTTACGTATGTATAAATCCAATTATGTAATTAATTATTTATTCAATTCTCCATACCTTTAATTTACAACCACCTCCACATTCAAAATATAGTATATAGAAAGTATTTATTGATTTGTGAATCAAACAAAGAAAAAACGGAAACTTTCATTCAAATTATTTCAATCCCTAAGACTTGTTGGCGACTCTGAACTGTCCCGCTGAGCACATCATCCGAAAATTTGTTGATGAAAATGCTTTTAGTGCATATTGGCAAATCATTCTCATTCTCGACAACAATGGATTTCAACATTTATTTAATAAATGTCGAATAAATGTCCTTTCGCAAAATGTTTTGTTGACAATCCATTGACTCAATTTCTTCTAACAATGCATTGTTATCGTCGATTGGTTCTTTATATTTTGCAATTGCCTAATTGCAATTGTAAGTTTGTGCTGTCATGGAAAATTAATTAAAAAGTCCATTTGGAAAACAAGTTTGCTGAGTATGACAATTTTCATATTGCAATGTGAAATATAAATACTCATGTAAGTATATCCTAATACAGTTGATGCCATTATTCAGAATTGTATGGCATTAACTTTGTGTCATCTAAGCCGGAATTCATAGTAATGCTTTCTAATTGTCGTGTTGCTAACTATAGCCCAAATTGTTAATTATTTCTGCTGGTGCTAGCTGCGCCTAAGAAAGCACGCTTTACATTATACATTAGTCGAAATCCTAGCATACATGCACACACACACACATACATATAGACCCACACACACACACATGCGCGCAAATTCTTGACTTGGCATTGCCCTCAAGGCTAAAGCGGCAAAAGCAGCAAAGTTAACATTAAGCCACGTCTTTATGGCGCCGTCAAAATGTGCTGCACGAAAACAACAACAACAAGACCAGTTACCAGGCAGCCATCCAGGCAGTCAGTCAGCGGGTAAGCGCCCCTTTGACCCCGTCACGCCCCTGTCAAGGAATGGTTAAAATGGAGCACAAAGCAATGAAACGAAATGAAATTGTCACGAACCCAGCCTAACAACAACAATAACAACTACAACACACAGAAAACAAGAAACAAAAAATGAGTCGCACGATCAAATAAAAGACCAAAAATTTGTTTATGACTTTTGGCTCGTAGGTCTTCGAGCGTGTGTGTGTGTGTGTGTATGTTTATGTTTGGTTTGGTATTGAAAACAATGAATGCAAATCCTAATGGCATCTGCGAGCTTAGTGTGTGTGTGTATGTTCTAGTCCCATCATTAGAAACGGCAAAAATAAATCAATAAATACATTTTCAACTACCGCAACTCCTGTGAGCCACGTGGCGTATGTGTAACTTTAGTGTGACTGCTTTGCGTGTCGTTTTTGTTGTTGTTTTCGTTGCTGTGCACTGGCATGACATTATATTACGTTGGCCGACTTTTTTCCACATTCAATTTTCCTTTTGCATTTAAGTATGTACAATTATTTATTTATTGTGATTTTTTTTAATGCTTTATAATTATAAAATGACATTTCGTGTTCTGAATTTGATAATGATTCGTTTACTTTGGTTTTTATTTATAATGTTTTCATTTAATTAAGTGCTCAATGCCCTAACGCTAATTATGCACACACACACATATACTCACACATTTATTATTGGCTATGAAAGTATGATTGCAATTGGTGTTAATTTGTTTTGCGAATTCTGTTCATTTGTTGTTGTTGATGTTGCTGTGGTTCTATATATTTGTACCAAATTAAAATAATAATAAATTAAACATACATATGTGGCTTGTTTGCACTTGTTTGGACATATGTGTCGTTTTTATTCAATGGAATTACAGCTAAATATTTAGTCACAATTTAACCGCTGTTGTAAAAATATAATAAAAAATTAACAGAGACGACTGCAGCTGAAGTTTTAAAGCGACGTCTAGTATAAAATTAATGATTATATGAATGTGAGATTATATGTACGATTATGATGAATATTAGTTACTACGCATGTATTTATGTGCATGTTTCTAAATCAAAAGGGAGGTAGGAAAAGGGGACAGCTTTATAAAATCTGTATACGGCAAGTAGCTGCGAACAAACGATTTCCGAATGCTACGTCAATTAACATTTGGGAATGGATAATCGCCATATAAATTCTGACGTGCCTTGGCTTCAGTTAACTTAACAATTGCAATAACAATTGACGTAGAGCTATGGAAATCGTTTAGAAACGCTCATACGATAATAAACGCAATTGATGTACCAACAAAAAAGGACCCAGTATGTGAATTACATATAAATTAATTGTGATATTTAAAGGTTGATATATATAGAGTAAGTTGTGGATAAATGTATGAATGTACGTATATATGTATGTATGGTAGATAATATATTTAATATAATATAACTCACGCTAAAGCTATTACTACGAAGTCCAGCCAATTCCATGCATCTCTAAGATACGTAAACGGGCATAAAATGAAACCTCGTGCCATCACTTTAACAGCTGATTCAAATGTGTAGATTCCGGTGAATATCACCCTAAAAACGAATTTCGAATGCAATTTGTTGCATATTTGTAATATGACTTGAATTTACTTAATTAACTTGGAAAATATCGTGTACATAGATGTGAATCATATTTAATTTAAATTTTATTGTCAATTGGATTTTTCCCATTTGCAACGTCTTTTGCTTCTGTGAAACCTCAATTATTTGTTTGCGAAACTTAAATATAGCAAAAAGTTGAACGAAAGATAGTTTGCAATAAAAATAAACAAAAATTGAAAGATATATTGTATATATAAACAAGTACGTATGAATACAAGTAGTATATAAAATGTTATACTCTAAGTAGTTGGGATTGAAATGCAGTTCATTCTCGCTGCGCTTAAGAGTATGCTACAACGTTTTTATCTCCATGCGTCTTCTATACCCTTGGCTCGGCCGATCTATCGTTGCCGCTTCCGATAAGCCGTAAATTTGTAAAGTTTTTTTTACATTTACGAATAAATTCGTATCAAGACTTAACTGAATTTTAATTACTCCAATGACATCAAATCTCGATGGAAACATTGCTATAGATATGGAATTTCCAATCCGGCATTAGGCAGTTTTCTATGATTCAGACTAAAAATATATTACACAACTTAAAGAAACAATCGATGGGAAAATGGTATATATTCAAAAAAAATCACGAATAATTTATATCCAAGGCAAGAGTATAGAATCTTCAGCATACCGAAGTATTTGCATTTGCAAATTTCGTCACTTAAAACTAACTTAACTTCTTAGTCTAAGCTTTCTTAAAGACACCTCAATGTGTACACAAATGGGTTTCTTTCCTTAGTCATTATTTGCAGGCCATTATTTTACACGCTTTTACAAGGTCATTTAGTTTTTCCCTCTCCAGACCTCATCAATTGCTGCCCTGATGCATCATCAAGTCGAGACGTAGCTTGTAGTTAGTTGTGCTTCGATTCCGCAAAATGCGCTTTATTCCATCTGCCTGCTTAACCATAAACCGATTTGTAAGTGACAAATAAAACTCGACGCTGAGATCATTGCTTGGCAACTGTGACACATACTAGTACATACAAACGCAATTAGGTGCATGTTGTTGCATAAGCGACACCATCATAGTACCGTACCATCGCCCCACCTCACCACAAGCCGACAAGCCATATTGAGGGCGAGTTGGCCCAAGCATTGTGTAATAATTTGCACATTAAAGTCAACAAACAATGTTAGTTAAAACTGGCAACGGACTGACTGCACATCAAAGCGCAGTTGTGAAGTGTGAGCCGCTTAATTATTGTGCTAGAGATGAAGATAGACAGACTGGCAGGCAGAAAAGCAGGCTGGCAGACTAGTGGGCTAGTAGGATGGTAGGCTGAGCAATTGTCAATGTCAATAATGGTTAATACTTGATGGCCCGATGCTGCAGAAATTGTGTGTGGGCGTCAGATCAATATGCCGACCTTCAGTGGATTGCAAGCGCCTGGCGCTGTGCTCTTTGTGTCTTGGTAAGTCATCTGACAGATTTAAGTCCCGTTTGCATGTGACAAGCGAACGGACGGATAGACAGGCAGACAAACAGACAGAGATATATACAGACAGATGGGGGGACAGGCAGCGTCCAGTCGCCTAGGACTTTTACTTTTTCGCCTGTAACTAGTTCAAAGGCGGGCATGTGTGGGTGTGTGCGTCTATGCTTGAGTGTGCGTCTGACCTAGGCCCCAATGCCTGTGAAGGACACTTCAGTTGTGTTTTAATTGCAGGTATTATGTCTTTCTGGGGCCCACAAGTGCCCCAAGCCCCCGCACACTGACACACACAAGCTACACTCAAATATATATAATATATATATATATATATATGTACACAGCAGGCGACCCACATAGATGCAGGCCGCAACTACTTAGATAGACTGCCTTTATGTATTTATGTAGGTGTGTCAATATGTGTGCGTCTTAGCCTGGTGTGCGTGTTACAAGTTATGTGGCTGGGCACCTGCTGTGCCTTTTTCGGTTAAACGCAACCGCCGCCATTGTCAACAAAGATGCCTGCCTGCCTTCTACCTTCTGCCTACTTGCCTAACATCCTCCCTCCTTGAGTTCTTCAGTCTCTCGCTCGCTCAATGGTTCACTGGCTTGGTGTAGCGCTCATTCGCTCTTTACTTTTGCTCGCTGTGTGTGCGTTTCAAGTTCAAGTGACACTTTCGCTAGCTTTTGTCGCACCTACACTCTTGCAGCCACAGTTTCAGTTTCAGTCGCAGTCGACGACCGCGCCAACGCCAACGCCAGCGCAGCGCCAGCGTCATAGTTGCAGCAGTTCTCAGCGAACACCTAAAGTTTTGTTCGCCCGTTTTGGCTCTGCACACATACAAGGTATAGATAGCTTGGATATACATAGATAGAACGTTATGTATGCGCTTTTGCATTTGTTAGGGTGCTCCATTCTGATACCAAATCTGCGACAATAATTTTGATATCAGCTAAAAAAATGACGTAACTCTTTTCACTTTCCTTTTGCTTCGAATTGCTGTACATCGCACGCTCGTTTCGCTAGTTTTTATACGTTTCTTTTGTACTCTCATGTTTTTCTTTTTGAGCTACTTTGAACTGTACAGATAAATATAACATGTATATATATATATGTACACAGTACACACTAAAAATCGAGTTACTCATGTTCTACCACATACTTTTGAATATGGTCATGTCTATGTATACGTATGTATGTATATGTATGTATGTAAGTATTACATTTGTCTAAGTACGCATGTATGTACATATACAAGTATGTACATATGTGAATCGAAACACTATTGTTGCTCTTCAGGTTTTTGGTTATACAATGCAGATGTTAAAGGCTTCAAGATTCTATAAATTCCATCTACTTTCTATATATACTCGTAAATATGTATTTTCAACGTTTTTTACATTATTACATTATACACTAAAAATGTCACCTAGTTTTTTGTTTATAAAATTATATACCAAAGCAAATAGCTCTAAAATGCTATTTAATCGTTTACGTTTACGGATTTTCTCAAGTCCGTTGCCAGTCGTTCTCTAAAACTCAGGCAGCAGAGCTTGCAATACAGAATATGTTTTACAATTGGGCACAGTTACTTAGTTGTACGTATCAAGTATACATGTATGTATTTATAAGCCCAAGTTTTATTTTCAGCTTACTAATAGTCTATGAATATATTGGCTAGATTACTACAATTAAAATATATATGAAATGACGCTAATTACGCATATGTTTACTAAGTATATATTCATTATGTATGTAAGACTAATACAAGTATGTAATGCTACATATACTTGATTGATATGGAAATGGCGGAGGGTTTTATATAGGTTTGGGACACCACCTACTTATTCAATTGATACATTAGACATGTATGTATGCATTTATGTATTGCCTAAATACGTATGTATGTATAACTACTACAACAAGTTCGATTAAAGGTTTTACTAACTGCAACAAATTAAAGCAAATATATTGAATTTCTGGAATCTTCTGATACGAAACGTGAACAAACCAAAATCTGGTTTCGCCAGCATAGTTTTAGGTTCTTACGGCCCATGTTACTAAATGCATATCGAAATTTTAGAAATTTACAATGAGCATTGATGTCAGTTACTAAGTAAGTATAGTTGTTTAGTTTTGTTGCATTGGACAATTAACAATTGTATAATGCAGATTAAGTAATAATGTACAGAGATGCCCTCAACAATTTTTGTGTGCGGAGGACTCACGAACACCCACACAAAAGCTGTTGAGTATGAGCTGCTGCCAAATGCAACGCTGGCAAATGAGTTTAATAGCAATGAACTTTCAACTACTACACATGTTTGAATTGATTGAAATTAGAGTTAAATCGATCTCGATATTGATATTGACATTGAAATTCAAAATTAGTTTTGTACAAGTTCCTGGCGTTTATGACGTCACTAAAAATTCTTTACCTTGCAGCAGTTGCAATTAACAATTACAATTCATTAAAATTTGGTTTATGTACGAACGAGTATGGGTAGATATAGCACTTTGGTTTGTTGTGGTTTGCCATATAGAATAAACGTAATTTATTTATTTTTTCCTGTTTTTTTTTTATATAAAATATATTTGAAAGAAAATTAAATTCGACCTAAATACAAGTCTGCATAAATATTGGAAAAAATTACATTTAATATAAGGTAGATTATATATATGTATGTATATATAAATATCTATATTGTGTATATATCGCTTTTCAAAGAGAGGTTAATTAATAAAATTGACATTAAAATCCATTGAAAACGAAAACGTAAAGTATAAAAAACAATTAGAAACGAAACTATAATACGTACATATATTGAAATAATAATAGAAAATGTAGGCCATAATAAATATTTGCTAGGGATTCTCTTCCCAATAATGCCCAACATTATTTTATATGTCTGTAGTATGTATTGAGGATGCTAGCCAGCCAGTACTTACTCAGTGGACTCAACCGTGGGCGTTGTCGGCATTATCATCAAAATGCAGTTGACGAGAATTGTTGTAATGATAAATAACGAAAATAATGGATGCACTAAAATGTAAATGGCCACACGACGAATCGGATTGAATGGATCGAGCAGCCACATTGCTTTTGATGCAGAAAAGCGAAATATATCTTTTCCTTTGCTTACAACTACGAACGTCTGTAAGAGAGTAATTATTACAATCGGACAACAGATTGAGATGACAATAATACTCTATTTCGATGGGTAGATGAACAAGAAAATTGCTTGTAAAATATGAGGGTTACCTACCAGTATATTGCTGTAGTAAGGATCGATATCCTCGAGAGGAGTGGAGGCCAATTCCGGCGGGAAGCTGCCCTGCAATCGAACAGGTATTGGCACACCCTGTTCAAGTGTAGGATCCGGTTGTGGACCTTCATCCTCGTCCTCGTCATCATATCGGATCTGTTTGGGCACGTTTGGCGAGTGCGTGTTGTGTGAATAAAATAGAAATTATGCACATTTATTAATATAACTGTCATTTAAGAGTTTTTAAATGCACATAGACACACACACACAAGCAATTAGTCCATGTAATTTTTTTCACAAATTTCCATTTAATGTTTAGCCTAATTAGTACAAATCGAAAACCAGCATTTATGCAAGTTTTTGACCTGAAACATTAATTGTTTTTTTTTTTTTTTATAAGGTTTACATTTTTGCATATCATATATAGTGGAAGAATTTGGAGTAAGTGGCACAGAAGGAGTTATTGTACGAGTAAATAGTATAGTTAATAGCGTAGAAGGTAAGTACATATCAGTTATGGTGGGTTTTTTGGCTGATTGGTTGCTTGATTGGTTGCCTAATTTATAGATCAATTGGTTGCAACAATATGCAAAAGATAAAACCAAATGGACCGAGGCCAATTTGTAAGTATTTTGGGGACTAATTAGCTATAATATTTATTTTTGTTGAAGTCTGTTTAGAAAGCAAACAAATAATGGATTTAATTTTAACATAAGCGTTCACTTTATTAAATATTGAATTAATATAAAATTAAGAACATACCCGAACAAGTGATTTGAATTGATTTAAATAAATAAAAACAAACCGTATTATTGCATGCCAAAAAGTTTGTGATAAGAAGTGTAGAAATCGTAGTCCAAAAACGTGTAAAGAAAAATGTGTAGGTACATATATTTTTGTTTTAATTTCTTTTCAATTTATTAATACGTACAAGTGCAGACAATAAACAATATATACTATAGTTTTTTAAACAACACACACATCAATTGTACGTAAGGATATAACATAGAATGTCTACGAATTATTTTTGGATTGGGTTTTTGTTTTTGTTAACCACAAACATTCAAGTGTCATTCCAGTGACCAACTTTTACACACTTTGAAAGGAGGGAAGGAAGGACTGCAGCAAAAGTTTTCCTACCTCGGCATCACTAAAAATTCCACTATACAGTAAGTATGTATGTAGATATGTCTTTTGATATTTACTATTTCGACTATTCCTAGCAAAGCAATTTGCTAGTGGCCTGGACGCAACTTTGCTGCTTTTTCCTATTTAGTTTTGCCCATTGTGGCACGATATACTCGTACAACTATACAGCCATGGCTATGGCTGTTGTGCATACATATATCGATTTCGACATAAAAACAGCAGAAACAGCGGCAGCGGCAGTGCCAGTGGCAGCAGTAAGAGCAGGAACAACAACTAAAACAGACCTGCCAGACTGCGGGCTTTATGTATGTACATACTTATGTATATACATATGTATGTATATAAGTATTATAACTATTGTAGTTAGTTTTTACTTTCCGTGGACATGAACATGCAATGCCAAAAGCAAAAGTAAAGCAAAAAGTCCAGCGTCACGTCATGAAAAATGTTGTTTGCTATATGTACATAGTTCTGCTTCTGCTCTATACATACAAACATGTACATATATATGAGAGGAGCAGCGCGGAGCGAAGTGAAGAACAAAAAAAAAAAAAAAAAAAGAAAATGCCATAATAGTTGGCTTGCAGGCTTGGTTGTTTGCTTGGCGTGACAATTAGATTGTATATGGAGGGCGGTACATTGGAGGCCGAAGCTGCCGCCACCAAGCAACATGGTCGCGTCGCAGGTTTGACGCAAGTGCGGCCCCGAACGGGGCCTTTTTAAACAGGCCAAGTCAAGTCTATATTTAAACTAATAAAAGGCAAGCCGCACGATAAAAAGCTCACAGCGACCGTACTACCGACCGACTTCATTGGAGCTAAAACCCAAGAGCCGAATGCGATTGCGATTGCGAATGCGGCAGGGCAACGTGTCGGCTACGCCATGCGGTTGGTGGATGTGGCAGAAGGACGACGACATGACGACTCAAAACGAAGCAGTTTCAACTGGACATGGCTGGTCTTCATTTTGTTTACGAATTTATGACGCATAGGCACCAGAAACAACAACAATCATTCGATAGTTTAATGTGAACTTTTGCCTTCTGGTAGGGAAGTATGGGGACTGAAGAGTGTGTAAGGAGTAGTTACAGGACAACAAGAACAACATGCACAATCATTCAAACAAGCCAGAACTACGCACTGCAGGGATTGCTACTTAAGGTTATAAGGTAACTAAGCACATCAAAAATTATAGCTTGGGAGTTATAAATAAGTAGCAATTACTACAAATAATAATTTTCCAATTGCCTGTATAATTGCTTAGCTTGGTTTTTTCTTTTTCAACTCAATTCTATTGGCTATTTTAGCAATTATTTTCTTTTTCGCCTTACGCATATACATTTGTATGGATATAGTAAGTAGTTTGTTATTATACCTTTGCTTTTCACTTACTTTTCTTTTCTCTTCTCTTCACTCGCTTTACCAACTTACAAAATTTCCTGTCTATTCGATCGACGCAAGCCATGGCTTGATTTATCGTTTCATGCTTATTATTTATTTATGCATACCTATATATACATATATATTTAAACACTATATATAGAGGTATATAGGTAGGTATGAATGGGTATAATCAATAGATGGCGGCACTGCAAAATTTGTGTCCTTATTTTATTTTTATTTTTTTACATATATTTTGTCTTGGATATGGAAAATTTTGCAATTGGCCGCTCATAAATCATCAGACATCTGCATAGTATGGTCAAAAGAAACGAGGCCGCCCAAAGGAGCACCACTACAACAAACTGCTCCAAGCTATATGAACTGGCCCTGGCCTAGCCTAGAAAAGATTAACTGGGAACTGATCTGAAGTCGACTACCCTCTTCCTACATGGCTATATGAAGGTACCTGACTGGCTTTAGAGTTACAGGTTAGGCAATACGAGGGAAACATAATACACTTATTAAATTATATTGTACGGGTAATATATAAGGGCATACGTATAGTATTTTAAGAGCAACAATTACACAGACACACACATACATATCAAAACATTTATATTATTATAGATAGATAGGTATACAGAGTACAGAGGACATGGGATATAGAGTACAAAGTACATAATTGATATCAGCGCGTACATATATTATTTATATGTGTATATGTGTAGGAATAGCTCTGAAGCAGTAATTGCAAATAAGCAGCTTTAGTTTTATTTCCTGTAGGAACATTTTTATGAAGACAACCCCTAAAAGCTACTGCAAACAAAACTATAATTTAAATGATTTGTTGTTCACAGGCTAATGACTGCCTATACAGACACTACTAACTCCTTGCGAAATAAAAGAAAAGAAAGCAGAGATCGTTTTAGAAAATGTAGTCCCATTTTGGATATAAAACATTATTTAAAATAACAACAAGAACGAGGAATTAAGGGATTACTTATTGAAATGAATATGCAGCAACATATTCTTTTGTTTATTAACTTTATTTATTTATTTCACTGTTGTTATTGTCATTTCGCACAAAACAATTAATATTAATAATGAAACTTTCCTCAAGTTTGAAAACGTTTAAACCGCAGCCTGATTTAGGGAATTATTATTGTGAAATTCTTTGCATCACCCCATTCCAATGAATAAATGGTAATAAAATTACCTGATTAGAGAGAGATTTTAGATGTCCTTAAAGCTGTCTGTATAATACCTATTATTTTTGGGCGCAATAGTTCGGACAGTTTGGAAATATATATCTATTAGATTAGCATTGATTTCTTTTAACTTACAACTCCTACTCGATGGCTTCTTAAATTTGGAAATATCTTGAATTTTGCAATAGCTTACAGGGCTGCCCACATTTTATGCACTCCCATAGAATAAGAAACTTTTTTGGCTTTTAATCAGCGCATTAGCATATTAAAACAGACTATTTGTAGGGATTAATTGTTGATAACATTCCGTTATCTAACTGTAATAATTAAAAACTAAGTCTGTTACGAGAAAATGTACGTCAGGGGTTTTGCAGCCACGCCGAGATATCTTTGGCATAATATACAATATATATATATATAGTATGTATATTAAATTAGATTGATATTAAAGTTAGATTAAGAAAATAGTTGTTCATAGTTTTATGTGTATGTAATTAGATAGGTATTGTAGTGAAAGTAAGCATAATATAGTTAAAGTAGAAAGAAAGTCAATTAAAAGCTGCATTTTGCTATATACACGTGATATTTGCTGTCATTGTTGCAAGTGACGACCAAAAATTGCTCGGCCATGACTTGAGTGGTAATTATTTTGATCGGTGATCGCAGATATTGCATCAGCAATATAGAACTAAGAGCAAAAGAGCTAAGGAATACGCTTTAGCTTAAGGTTATCAGGCTCGGCGGCAGCTGCACAGTGACGCAAATGAAGGCAAAACCGAAATTTGTATCTTGAGCTCAAGCACGCTGTTACAAATTAAGATAAAAAATAAGTAAAGGTAGAAGCATAATTACAAAATATTGGTTGTTGATTGCTCTTTAAGGGCAAGCGTTACACCAAACGTTGCAAAATAATGTTCTTTAAATTTACAATTACAGATACAGTTACTTTTAAAATGTTTCACAGCTAAATCAAAACTTAAATTTGGCATTTAACTGAAAAGAATTGAATTGGCAATAAAGTTTTAAAAAGTATAAAAATTGCAAATAAATATTTTGTTACTTCTTGAAGTGAAAGTAAAAGTTGTTTGAATTGTTTGGTTTTTTTTTTTTTGGTTGGTTGGTTGTTGTTTTTTACGTTTTTGCGTTTGTTAGACTAAAAGTTCTGACAAAAATCTTACTTCTTTTTGTTTTTTCTTGCGACCATATTGCGGCTGAAAGAAGATTTGAATTTGGTTTTTGGTTTAAGACATTGTTTATGAGCATTTAGTTTATGTTAAGTTAAAAGGAGGAAGAAAATGGTTTAGTTTATTGTTTTGCCATAGTGCATTGGCAACAAACAATTTGGTTCATTATGATCGTTATAAGTATTATTATATTATTTGTAATTTGTAATTTTGTTTGGCGTTTGCGTTTTTATGTCCAGACCGCAGCGCACGCAAAAGTTTTATTGAGAGCGTTAAAGTAGAGAAAAATAGTAAACATAAAAGAAAAAGTACACGAAAAAAATAGGAAAAATATATATGTATGTGAAACGTTCAGCATTTCTTCAAAATTAGATGAATATATCATTGTTCGATCAGCATATTCGGTATGTATTTTATACTATCTAAGAGTGACAAATCCTATAATTTCTATCCTAAGCCTAACCATGAATGTTATGACTACAGATTTCTACAAAATTCAAAGTGAGTTTGTCGCTGTATTGACTGTTATGTGACTTATGTGTTTAGGTTAGACGCGACAGGGCTTAATAGCTACATATATATATTTAAATATATATATATAGGAAGAGAGAGATATATGTATGTATGGTCAGCTAGAAAGAAGGAGGGAAATATAGCGAGATGTGAGATAGTTGGAAAGAGCGATAGACGATGAATGCTTATTTGGTATATTTTGGTATAGTAAAGATTTAAAGATAGAGAGGAAGAGCTTGAAATTAGGTGTACGGATGATGATTGCTACTGGCACTGGCCTCAGGCTCAGATTGTGGTTAATTGTGTTCGTTATTGTTTTAAGCACAAACACAGGTGGTGATTGTGTGGCTGAGTGTGAACGCAACGCATGTCTTGCAGTGAAATGATTTGTTAGTACTTATTGTTTTTAATAAATATTACTCTTTCTAAAATAAGCACTTAATTAATATTAGTTAGCTAATTTAAGACTGGCTACAAGAGCTTTGTACAGGTTTCTAGAACAAATGAAGGGAGAAAACCAATAGGAGCGCATGGTTTCGCAGCTGTCATGATCAGCGATAGCATCACACAATTTCGTAGCAAAAAACTTTTGTCTTAATACGCTTGCCAGACCGAAAGCTGAGAAAAACATGAATTTTTTGAATTTTAAACGCTGCAACGGCTAATAATTTCTTTTGTGGGCTGCTCTGGAATATTCTTAAGCTTAGAAAATATAATTTATATTTGCTCTCTTTGTTATTTGATATAATTTGGCACTTTTTTGTTATTCGATTTAAGTTTGATGATTTGATAACGAGATTTTTGTATTGAAAATAGTCACTATGAGTCGCAATAGGTGCCTAGGAAGAAAAGACAAAATCAAAAGAAAACTCAAGAGATAATGAACACAGCTATGTGATTGGTTAGCAATGGTCTTAAGTGTCTGATACGATTTCTAATAAAAATTAAATGCATATTGTTTGCCGCGCTCTTTAGATGGTTTGAACTTTAAGGCAGTTGATTATGATTGGAACATACGAGTACATATACTCATATACGTATGTATGTATGATAATTATTTACACAACGAGACGGTCGTGATGGGTGACACAGTAACGGTTGCAAAAACAGTTACAATTATGACCAATTGAAGCATTTTACCCATGGTCAACTTATTGATGTTGTTGTTTTTTTAATTTATCCAAAATGACTTGTTAAAAAAAGTAAAACACAGTTTGTAATTAACTGAACAACTTTTTGCCTTTTTAAAAGATAAACATATTTTTTCGCTACTTGAATCAAATAAAAGCGCATTTAGAAATCAACTCAAGAACAACATTAAATATTACATAATTATTTAGTTAAGTACATTTCAACACATTAAGAAGCCAATAGATAAAATACACATTTCTTATTGTCAATAGTTTAAACAATGAAACAAACGAACAGACAAACAAACATACAACGATTATGGCAGATAAAGTTTTTCGCTTTTGAATTCTGTTAATAATATGTTCAATATATACGCATAGTTACGAATTGGGCATAATACAAAAAACGAATAAATTTGCTGTAGATATTTTTTTAATTTTGTTTAAACAAAGCTAAAAAGATGAATTAAAAATGTCAATACTGTATACGAATTGCAATAAATTGAAAATTATACAAAGATATGGACATGTTATTTTAAAAGGATCTTTTCATTGTGGCACATATAGTGTTGATTCAGAGTCATCAACCAATTTCTACGATTACGGGTACTGCAACAATTCATACTTGTTGTGACTTGATCAATGCAACGAATTCTTAAAACTATGGAATTGCAAGAGTATTGAGAATAGGAAAATTGTCTGCTTGTGTCGCATTAGTTAAGGAGATAGAGCGCAAATAGAGAAAGTCCTAAAGTAAATAGAGTGGGCGGGTGAACTGAACTTTTTGAAAAATACAACAAACAATATTTTATAACAAACAAAACGTATACATACAAAACATAACTATAAAGAAGGACTGCACGACAATACTATTCTTTCAAAAAAAGAGCTTATCCTTGGAATTTATTAGAAATATGCTGGGTACTCTTTCTCTTGACAGGAAATATCGCAAACTTCTTGAACACAAAATTAATCTATTACTGCTACTAGCCTGAGCGGCTAATTTCATACATTTCTTCAAATCTTAGACATTTTAGACATTTTTCACTCTTCAGCCGACATTTTGAATTCTTTTTACTACTTAGTTCTTATGCAACCCTACAACATGTGACATAAATACATTTCTTGAGTAATCTACCAATTAATGGTTTTCATTAATCCTTATGGGTTTCAGTATATACTGTGGTTTCTTTACCTGCTTTTAAAGTCGATCGTTGCAAATAATTTTAAACGTTTAATTAACTGAACAGAAATTAGGTGATTGTTGTGCTATTTCTTAAAATTTTGGATGAAAAAACATTTTACGCTACCGGTAGTTCAGTGTTTACCTTCCTATTTCAGCATTGCTTTAATGGAAACTAATAATTACTTTAAATAAATTAAAATAACGAAATTTTAATTAAAGAAAATAAACAAGAAGAGACAGATTTATAGGGGGTTTGAAGGCTGCTTTCAGAGATTCAATGCAAAGATTTTGTGTAATAAAACACACAAACAATAGACGGGCATCAGCAACAGGGGCTCTGCCAGAAGACGAAACACCATAGAGAGGCACTGTTCTTAGCTAAGGACGATAACAGCACACAATCGGATGGATTGGGAGACAGTGATGATCACTTCACAAGTGCACTAAAGCAGCGACGTGTGTGAGGCAGGGAGAGAGAGAGAGAGAGATGTGTGCAGTGAAGCGATTCAATGAGCATGGAATGAGCTGCTCAGAGAGCACAGCAAGCGCCATACAGCCATAGCCAGAATGGAAATAATTGACTGATTATGTACAGAGATGCATTAATTTTTCGTCCAGCTTGAGCTCGGCATGTAAAGGCTGATGGATTGATGGTCTAAGCTTTATAATTTTACAGAGCATTGAAAATCGCTTAAGAGACAGACAGAGAGTGTGGGGGGGGGAGGGGAAAGAGAAAAGGAGTAGAAAGAGTATAGAGCATGAAAGAGCGTGAGAGCGACTTTTAGCATTAAATAGTTATTATTACAGATCTCTTGTCACAGGTATGCACGATATATAGTATTAGAGTATGTACGTGTCTATATATGTATGTATTTAGAAGGTAGTATGCAATTAAAGTACATATGTATGTATATATGTATGTATGTAGACTAATGGCTTGGTCGAATGGAAATTGGCTTTTACTTCACATTACAGACACATTGTACGGTAAATAGTATGTATGTAGTTAGTTAATAGCTAGCAAGTATATGGAGCTTTAATTATACATAGTGTTTGGAATAGATGTATGTATGTATGTATTTATATACACGCACGAAGAAATATATGTTAGTAGTAATAAGTAGTAGTAGTATTAGTTGACTTGAAGTATAAGTATTATTATAAGTTAGTATACAATAATAGACGTCTAAGCACAAAATAAGCGCACAGTAGCGTTAATCGTTAGTTTCACATTTGTATTTTTTTGTTTTTTGTTTTTTTAACGAGAGGAAGCGCAAATAGATATAGGCGCATAGAAATAATTACCACCTCTCCCTCGGCTCTCTTTCTTTCCAGCTCCTTTTGCTTTTCATGCTCAGCGGCAATACGTTGTTCAATTTGCACCAATGATTCGCGGGTAAAGGGACGGAACAAACTGCGTTCTTCCTCAGATATCGAGTCGGAATCTTCTGTCATTGTCTATGCGGCCAACGATGAGAGCCTTAGATTTCCAAGGCCTGGAAGTAGGAGGATATAAACAAAAGCAAATCAAATACAAACATCTCATTAGTAAAATGCCAGGACCAGTTTTCGATAGTCTTCTTTTGATCCTTAGCTTCCTTAGCAAAATACTTACATGAGGCACATGGATGTCGCCTGCTACATTAGAGCTACAACTATATCCGAGGCGCCATGTTCGAGTAGCGCCCGCCGCTTGACACGATGCTGCAATTAAAGAGCAATTGATTATTGACGTTATCAGGTTAGTCAGTTAGACGAGCAGCTGTAGGCGGAAGCGAGGGTTGAAGCGGATGGGAGCTCGTGTTCAGTGTACGTTGAACTCGGCGCGTTTAATTGGATTAGTGGCGACTCGAGTGCATGATAGTTTTATTTAAATGCAATGCAATCAAATGGCTTAAAAGATACCAGAACATCGACAACATGGTGCAACACAAATAAAATGAACAATCAATACTCATACTACAGGTTTTAAAGCCATAGAATTATGAGTTCATCACAATAGAGTGGTTTTAACTGCCCATATATTTCATTTATTAAGAATCATTTAGTTACGTTCTGTAGAACTGCAAATACATTTTGCTGTAATCGCTGTTAAATTATATTTAATGGTAAGTAGGTAACAAATTTTACAGCAATAAGTATTGGTTTCAGTTTGTAAACGATGTATGCCCATCTGAGTGTCTACATCAACTACCTCTACAAAGCATTTTTCCAACTTCTAAATAGTGTAGGCTTATCGAAAAAACTACAAAATCGTTATTTGCTATTATTATTAAAATATTCCAGTATTTTAACATAATTTGTCCGCCCATTTATGTTATACGTACAAGTATATCATTGGGTTCGTCTGTCTGTATCTCAGGTGGAGTTTTTAAACTGAGCTTCTGTCCTATTTTGATTACATTTAAATTTACTAAGCGTAGTCAATTGTTGAATTATGGGTAGAGCTATCTGTATATTTGCATACCCTATATACATGATTATTCTATATTATTATTTTCTAAATGTCACTTTTCAGACCTGCTACTAGTACTTGTAAAATCTGCAATACATATACGAGCACATATGTGCATATGTGCATATGTTTGGAGAATGTCAATAAATGCGACCCTAAAGGCTATATGCTGATCCATCGGCGAAATAGTTTGGCCATTTTGAATTTTGTGCTAGCTTATATAAGAGCAGGCAGCTAAGGTCAAAGCACTCTTGGTCAGTGGAAATAGCAACGTGTAAGCTCTTGGTTTTTGGTGTAGCACAAACACACACTCGCGTACACTTATGTATAGATATGTATGTGTGCATATATACAAATATATACACGCGCACACGCACGCACACTAGCTCATATTTGTGTACATCTAAATGGCCATGTGTCTGTGAGTTCGAGTTGAGCATAAAAGTAGGTCAGTTCAATAATTCGCCGTGTTTTTGTATATATATAATATATATTTATATTTATTTATGTATTTTCATATATGCAATAAAAATGATTGTATTTGGCCTTTTCGCGTATTTGCTTACTTGTTTATTGGCCATGTTGTGTAAAATCCAATTTTTTATTTTTCCCACTCGCAATTAAAAGAGGCGATGACTCATGCAAAATGTTCGGAACTTAATTCCATGAGCACACAGGCCACAAATGTGTCAATATGCAAATATACAGACGAACACGCACAACACAAACACACACACATACAAATGTACATATATATATGCTTCAATGATTGTTATGTGTACATGCGTTTGAGCAATTTTGCAAACGCTCGAAAGTGTGCAATGAAAGGCAATCGCAATCGAAATCGAATTCCCAGCTCAAGAAACAGACCAACAGGACGCGAATGCAGTGATGTAAAATAAGAAATTATATTACAATTTAAGACACTTATTCCACATAACATGTTCACATTTGGGAAAAGTGATTATGTATAGATAATGCTCCACTGCGATTATTCTAAAAATTGTATTTTTGTGGGTACAATTACTGAACGAAAGCCACGTCCATTTGCACGTTATTATTCAATGAATTTAACATAGAGTGAGGAATGCAGAGCGCCTGAAAGGATGAGAAGAAGAGCATGTGAATGGGAGAGCGCGCGCGCTTTTACGACACGCCGTGCTCCTTGACAAACCATAGAGGGCGAGAGAGAAATGTGAGATGAGAGAGAGAGAGAGAGAGAGAGAAAATGCGCGCACATTAACTACGCTCCGCTGTTTCCTTTTTATCATTATTTTGCTTAACGAAACGTTTGGCTGGCAGCTGCTGCTGCTGCTACCGCTTCACCTTCCGCCTCCGTGCCCTCTCCCATCCACTGACGCATGTTAGCTATGTGCTTAGGAATTTTTGTGTTGCCCACTTACAGGGGCGCTGCTGAACATTTGCCCTCCAAAAGAAAGGAAAAAGGTTGTAGCGAAAGGCACGAAACGCATGAAAGCCAAGAGCAGAAGCAGCAGCAGCAGCAGCACCACCACCACCACCAGGGGAATGAAAAAATGAGCAGAGAAATGAAAGGCAAAAAGAGCAACAGCTACAGGCTGATGTGCACATCAGTAATAAGATACAATGCGATTGCACGACATTGCATTAAAAGCTCTTGATTCATATCGAGTAATCCAATATACTTGTAATTATTGAGCAGAGTCTATTCATATGCCTATTCATTGAGCATAAGTCAGTGGCATAATTGAAAGCTTGCGAGCTGCATGATCTAAATATTAGTCATTCCCTCCGAGAACGAAAAATCGCATACTGATTACACATACACAAAATTCACAGAACAAGCATTAAAGAGCTAATAGCTGTATAGTTGATATTCAATGTATATTCAAACAACGTGACTGACTATCTCCATTTAACATTCTTGCATATTATTCAACAACAGAGTATTGTAATTAAGTACTGCTATTTCCTCAGAAATTCTCTCACATTTTGGGGTAAAATTTGTAAAATGAATGACCTGGACTTGGACTGTTGACGGACAACAGCATCACACATGACCAGAACTGTATATTATTGAAACTAAGCTAAGTCTCAAGGAAATGCAAGTACATATGTTGGGCTTAAATTCGATTTGTTTGAATTACAAATTGCAAATATAACGTCGTGACTGCTTCTATTTACTCGAATGTTTACAAAAATAAGGTCTTTGTGAGGCCCATTCCCGATGATGTCTCAATTTGTATTCATCACCTCCGTATTTAAAAGACACATCTGTCCAGGAGGGAATCGCTCTTTTTAAATACAATTATGTATTTTATTTAATTGATTCAAATATGTTTCATTTTTATCTAGGATAATTCTAACTAGCTTTGTGAGAAGTGGATTAGATGAAAACTTTATTTGAATTAAAATTTATAGATTCTCTGCTCTTTAGCGAGTAAATGTGAAACTATTCAAAAAGAACCATTCGAACAAATTTTTACATTTATATCTATATATAATAGATGGAAAATAATTAATGTCTTATCATTTTTTTCTTGGTATATTCTTTAATACTGAAATACCCTGCCTAAATAACTTTAATAAATAAATAGATGCATTTCTTTATTCTTTTTCAACGACAATTACTGAAAAGTAGGCAAGATCGGACCATTAAATAACATATTTTTTATCAAATTTTATCTATTATTTTTGATTTTTTTCCAATCTTGTGACTCAAAGTTCATTAATTATGAAAAGAATGAACATTAAAATTGTTTCTATTTTGTTACAAACTAATATTTGGAGTGCCTTTGTATAACATTTTAATTAAATACAAAAATAGAGTTTTATGTAAGAAAAGAAAATTTTAACTCACTGTAAATCGATGTCAATCGATGTTGTGCTTCTTCCTGTTGCTGATTCTCCGGTTGTTGTTGTTTTTGTTGTGGAATGCAACTAGCTGCTGTTGTTGCTGCTGTTGCTGTTGCTCTTAATGTTGATGTTGTGCAATAAACTGATTGGTTGGTGTTACAATATTTGTTGTTAACTATTGCTGTTACGGAGGCTGTGTTGCTGTTGCTCCTGTTGTTGTTTTAGTTGTATTAATTGTTGTTGTAGCTCACACAATTTGGACAGACACCAACACACACGCGAGACACACACACATGAAGATACAACACGACGCGCCAAATACAAGCTCTGTGCTTTTTGCAATTATATTTTCCTTTTGCGTTGCTTCGAAATTTGTCCAAAAAATATTTCGCATAAAAATTCACACACGCACACAAAAAACAACAACAAAAGTAACAACAATGAACTATTCTGCTGCTCAAACTTCAGGGCTTCAGGCAAAGCGATGTGTAGAAGAAAATGACGACGAGGGCGCACACAAAGACGAGGGCAGAGACGATGGCGACGGAGGTGATGGCGACGAGTACAACGAGGTAACGGTAACGTGCATGTGCGTGTTTATTATATTATGTCGTTTCGTGTCTGTATATGCGTGTCTGTATGTGTGTGTTCTTTTAGCCGGCGCTAGCGTTTTTGGTTTTGGTATTAGTATTGGTATTTATTGTAGCTTTGATTTGACTTAAGTTGTTGCTGTTGCTTTTGCTGTAGATTGCAGTTGCTGTTTTATTTGTTGTTGTTGTTGTTGCTGCTGCTGCTGTGATTTCTCAATGTTATCGATTTGTAATATTGTTGCTGCTTTTAGGTTGAAATTTCTTTTACTTTGATTTTGGTTTCGGGGTGTGGGGATTTTTTATTTCTTTTCTATTCGTTTAATATTCAAGTTGATTGATTTTTAATTTATTTTCATTTGTGGTATTATTTAAAGTATTGTTTTGGATTTTTGTTTCTTAATTTGTTTGCATATACATATACATATATACATATATATTTATTTTCCTATATTTGTTGATTAAATTTTTTTTTTCTTTTTTGTTTTTATTGTATTTTGTTAAAATTATCCACTACTATGCTCTGCTGCTTCAGTTGTTGACGTATTGCACTAACTTTGCACCCAAAAGGAAGTCGACGAAATGCGCAATGAAAGTAATAGTATAATAGTCACACATACACAAACACACTCAAAATGTGTGTGTGTGTGTATGTGTGTGCACTTTTCGAATTTATATAAAGATATTGCTGGCCACTTATTTGGTTTTGACTTTCTTACGAGTTTTGTTTCATCGTTGCTTGGCACACGAACAGCAAAAAAAATCAACACAGAACAAAATAGCAATTATGAATGTTAATGTTTATGCAACACACACGCAAGCACACACACACACACACACACAGACATAACGCGGACACGCACACTTTGCCGCTTTCATTGCACAACACTGGCGCATAGCGTAGCATACTTTTCGGCGCACGTGCAACTTTTCATTAAACACTTTAATTTAGCTCACATTTATTAAGCGTATTCACTTGCTGTCCAAAGTTGGGTATACAGATTGGGAGCGAGAGAGAGCCACACACAAACAAAAGGAAATGGAAAAACAAACGAAAACACACGCAGCAGAGTGGCAGCGCAACAAACATGAAATTAAAACGCAAAGGCACAAAGGCAAAACGCAAAGATAAAAGGCAATCCCAAAAAGGCTGCAAACCCGTTTTTAATTTTTTTTTTTTTTTTGTGGTTTGCCTTGCTTTGCTGCGGCGAATTGAGTCCTAAAGCCAAATTCATTCGCCGCAACGGTTACGCGCCACTCGCGTCGCACTCGTTTCGGCCCCGGACAAGGCCCAGCTGCTCCACCACACTCTCTACTCGTTGTCAACACAACTTTTGTTGTGCTACTTTCCCATCATCTCTGTCGCCGTCGACGACGTTTTCGTTGGCGTTGTCGTTGTCGTTGCCGTCGTGTCCGCTGTTCGCTGTTAGCGATGCTCGCCGCATGCCTTTGTGACTTATGCTATTTTTAGGTCATCAAATTGTTCGCTTTCTCGCTGTTTCTGGTACTGCTCCTTCTTTTTCTACTTCTGCAGCGGGGCCGCGCCTCAGTCCTTCGTTCGACTTGGATTTGTGAATGTGTTTGTGTGTCTGTGTGTGTTGCGCGCCACATTAGTTGCCACAACAATAGCAAATTTGAAAGCGTTTTGAAACATTTGGCACCGGCCTGACTAGGCCACGCCGAACCATGCCGTTTTTGTCGGCTTCGTATTGTGGGCAGCTGTCCTAATGCATTGCATATACTACATGTGTATATATGTATATGTACATATGTATGTACTTGTTTATGTGTTTGTGGTTGCCTTCATAAGTTATGTCTTTAAAAATAGCACACAGTGATTATCACAAATCATTTTGCCCCCCTTTTTTATTTGGTCAGACATGCGACGACTGTTCAATAGACCAATTGATGTTTTTCAACGCAGTTGCACATACACACACACACACACATCCACACTGAAAACATACGTTTAAAAATATATATGTACGTATGTATTTAAATGCAGAAAGTTGGCATTAGCAGCAGCAGAGGCAGAGCCACAAGAAACAAGTAGGCTAAGATATTTTACACATATACTCGTATGGTATGTATGTGAATACATTTTGGCAAGAACATGCCATCTATTCTGCATGAATAGTATACGAATCCTTAAAGCTTCTTCCGAATTATTCCAATTCAACAGTACATGTTTCGAGATTAATAAAAATGATGTTTGTGTAAGGAAAGAAATTTCATTTCAGTTCGAGTGAAGTGTGTAATACCTTTAGAGATTACAACTGCTAGATTACAAGGAATTTGTCGTTGCTTACGTCAAATTATTATTAAATGTATCTGAAAGGTATATCTTATTAAAGCAACAAAAAGAGCACACTAACGACTCCCATAAATACTACTTCAAATATAAAGGCTCTTTGTAACTACAACACAAACCAATCTAAGCAATTAATCATTAATGTTCTCAATCATTTAATACTATTTACTCGGAACAATTGTATGAACATTTTTATACCCTGTACCCGTAGGGTAAAAATGGGTAAATTAGGTTTGCGCAAGGTGCAGGCAGAAGGAAGCATCTCCGACCTTATAAAGTATATATATTCTGAATCAGCGTGTCGCGAGAAATCGATCTAGACATTAATTTTTTTGAATTTTCCTTCTTTCCCGCTTCCCCCGCTATAGAATTTTGGCACACATAATTTATATATAATTATCTACTTTTGTTTCAAATTTCATCAAAGCCGGTCAATTCTAAGAAAAGTTATTAGTGAAACAATTACACTCCTCATCATTTTCGTACATTTTAGTTACGAGAATATCTTAATGTTTCTAAGAATCAGACGGCAGCTATGAAAATATTCTAGGCATGCTAGAAATTGATATTTCTATGAAGTCAAAGCCGAGAACCCATCAATCGAACAGTAATAAAGGCGACAAACATAATTGGAAAGCCGATTATCGTGTTTAAATCAACGCCAACTGAATTGTCAATGCATGAATTATTGAGAATACTGTTACACTGCGTGTACTGATATATCCGCTCGAAGATATTTCCACGAAAATTCGCAAAATTTTGCAGATTGAAAATGAAAAGTAACTCCCAGTAGTCAAGTCTCTTTCTATGAAACGTTGAGTGAGGGCCATTGGTTTTTGACTGAAAGAAGATTAGCTTTTGCTAACAAATTTCACAAAATCCACAAGATTTTGACTGTTCGACTGTACTAGATAGGTTTATTTATATACATGTACACGCCATATGTACTTCTTCTGTACATACACAGACACATAGTGTATGTGCATATGTTGTGGGAAATAAAGCAATGCATACATTAGTGAGTGTTGTGTGCGGGAGTGAGTTTGTGTGTGTGTGCTTGGGCACACGTATTTAATAATTTATTTATGCGGCATTTACGTTATGTAAATTTGTCCAACGCGAACACAAAGCAAACGCAAAAACAACAACAACACACGAAAAAATAAACAACAAATGTCGGCAACAACTGCGACCGCAGCAGCGACCACAGCAGAAAGGAACCAATTGAACACAAACAATGAAAGGCGCTATATAAGGAAATGGGCACTCATACACATGCACACGCACACCACACACACACACACACACACACAAGCACAAACTCAAGCACGCATATGCACACGGACACGCGGACATACACACACACACACAGATACAGACAGAAAACAAATAAAATTGTTTAACGTTGGCCCCGACAGTTGGGCGCGTAGGCTAACCCTTGGGCCCTGACCAAGCTTCAAGTCAAGCGACAAAGTCATAGCTGTTGTTATTATTGTTGTTGCTGCTCTTTCTTTATTGAGTACATATTTTATCGCCCAAAAGTCACACAAACCCACACCCGTTTCATGACATTTAAGCGGAATTATTAAGTATATATATATATAAGTATAAGTATATATATATAGTATGTGTTCTTTTGCTGTGTCAACAGCAAAGCCAACGCACAATATCAGATATCTGTAGAAGTACATATGTACAAAATCACAATATATATATTTATAAATTAATAAGTATCAATTTTATTATTGCAGATCGCAAGTAAGCTTAAATCTATTGCACAGGATCGCAAACCTACTACCCATCGGCAGAAAGTATGGATAACAGGCAAACTATGCAAGTGCCATGTCAAAGCTTAATTCTTGAAAAACTGCTAGCGATTGTTGTAATTTTGTTGTAATCGACACTCCCATTAGCGCGACTCCCATAATTTTAATTATTAATGAGCATATGAGCCATGTGATTGGCTAACAACAAGTTAGTAAGACTTAATTTTAAAGAAACAGCAGAGCCTATTTAACGGTTAAGAGTTGATAAATCAATTCTATATACAGGTAAGTAAGGTTCTATTTAGTTACTTCTGTAAAATATGGCTGCTTTTTTCGTTTATAAAATAATAATAAACACGCTAAGATGCAAGATAAAAGCTTAATTTGTTTTTATAAAATCATTAATTGACAATCCTTCAAAATTTTCAAAAATTTGCGTGCCAAACACATGCCCAACAAGATTAGGTTTAGGACAGATTTTAAAAAGGTTACAAGCCTACAAAATTCATATTTCATATTTATATTTCATCTGCTAAATTAGGCAGTCAAGAAAATAATTTAAAAGCCCAAGTCTAATTGATGCAATCAATTAAAACCGACTTTCTAAGATGTAAAGTTTTTAAGTCATAGACTTAAGACAAATAAATTAATATTAAAAAATATTTTAGCGGTTTGCGGTGTTCTATTATTGTTTACAAGGAGCCACAATAAAACCTGTAGGAATACTAAAGTTATATCCGGCACAACGGCAATAATATTTTGTAATATGTAAAAATGTTGAAAAGAGAGCAGTTTTATTAAGAAAAGAATCCAACTCATTCAAGACTAAATAGAGATAAGAAAAGCTTCACATTCGAA